AAGAAGGTCTCATAAAAACAATTAGGACGCATTAATTATGCACTTAGAAATTTAGCCATAAATTAGAAACCTTATACCTAAATGAAAAAGAAATCATGCTCTTTACAGAAAAAGTATTGAAATTAATTGTGGTTGGTGGCCACTGTTAAGGCGTTACTGTGTGTCACAAGTATGATATCTTAATAGGAGCCTTAATTGTGCTTACATGTCGAATAAATTAGATAAGACTGGGTATTTATTATATTTGCGCAGCACAACTGTCCTGTTCAAAAATAATAGTGCGTGGTGTGCAGGTCATGCACGAGGACTCAAGAATGCGGCGGAGCAGTTCAAAATAACCCTTAGAGGTAGTGATACTTAGTTGCAGTGACAACTTTCTCCATGTAGTTAGAGTAGAACTGGAAAAGTAAGCTTCACCGAGTTAACAATACCCGCGTTTACTGAGTGTGTAATTAGAACAATTTACAACATATATACCAGATTATCTACTTGACAAAATAATGAAATCCATGCCGATAAAACCGTTAATTCTTCTATGACAACCAAGGCCAAAAGAACAAATATTAATGAAGAACTTCCAAAATGGGTAGAAATAGGATGTGTAGGGAAAGCAATGCCTCTTTGATCACAAATACAGCGAAAACATGTTGTCACGCGATGGCAGTTCTTTTGTGGCAAAAAACAGCGCATTTCATGACAATTACACCAGTGTCAAAAAGTTTTCCCTTGAGTAAAAAGGTCTTTTTAATGCTTGAAAATCAACAAAAAGGTTCTATATACTACGGAAAATGCTTGAAAGCATTGAACACTACAGTATGCCATGTATTAGTGAGCCACAAGCATTTCATAAAACAGCGACTTTCGAATAACCTTGAAATGTGAGCACTAACTGAAACCATTTTTCAAGGTCATGCGAAAATCGCTCTAATGTCTTTTGTAAGTGTCGGCTTTTAGTCCACCTTAGTTTCATTTGCCACCTAGATTTCACCTTGGATGCCTAGATCTGGAAAAATCGTTACCTTGTGGATGACCTAATTGGAAAGTTAATTTCGAACACTGTAAAGACAAAATAGTTTGGCATATTACATTTCACAATCTGACTTGTGAGTTTGTGGTTCTTCAGTATTATATAAAACAAACCACTTGAAATTTTTTTTCAATGATTTACCGGCCTGCTTTGGATTTACTCTACCCTAACTCTTCCCATCATATGACCTCACCGTTAAATTCATTTTTTAAAATACTTACACATTTTTGGACTTATTGGCTTATGGTTTGCAGAACCCCCAAAGTGACGGGTTGACGAAGAATGCGTGACTGACCTTGGTAGCGTACAATACCCCGGAGAATCTTTTTAAAAAGTAATTTTCCTGAAAGGGGATCTCCATGCCGACAGGAATTGTGTGAATTACGAACAGCTACTAAGTATAACTTAATAGTGCTATGTTTAACAGTCCTAGCCAGATATGAGGCAAAATAAATCAATGTTCCTTCTGAAGCTGAGAGAATGTCACCCTCCTGAGACCTAAGCCTGTATGAAAGGCAAAACTGAATAAAGCGGTTTTCACCTGACCTATAAGTACGGTTGGTAGTCCACGTCAGTCGCTGCTTTGCGTACGTCCGCACCTCTTGTGTTAAAGGGTCATTAGTGAAGGCGGGATGGTACAGGGTTATTTTGCGCCTTGGGAGACGACGCCCGGAAACGTTCGTCTGAAAACGGGAGAGGGCATCAGCGTCGTCATTAGATACCCCAGGGACGTGGCGAGCCCTGGCAAAGAAAAAGTGTTTCATAGAAAGGAGAACAAGGAACCTCAGGAGGTCCATTATACGAGGGGCCATTGAATGGCCCGAGTTAATGATGGCGACTACTGATTCGTTATCGCACCAAAATTGAATTCGTTTCCCAGAAAAATGCGGAAACTAGAGTGCGCACGCCACTACTATAGGGAAAAGTTCCTGCCATTCAACGGTGATAATCTTGGTGGGGCTTAAGTGCATATGGGGGAGCCATTTCCACTGGAAGCATTGACCATTAAAATATTTCCTAAGCCCGACCGAACTGGCCGCGTCTGTGTATAGCTCCAAGTCTGGGGAGGTGAACACGGTAGAGAAAGGCCTTCCACATGGTCAGGTCCTTAAAAAATTCCTTGTTGAGCGGTATATGGTGAAAACGGCTAGGAATCCCCCGGGTAAGGTTAATCATTCGTTGAAAAAAGGTTCTCCCCGGAACGACCGCCTTACACGCGCATTGAAGGGTGACAATAAGGAGCTGGAGTTCAACTAAGCGAACTGAACGGCCTTTCGTAAAGGAAGTGAGTAAATCCCGGGTGCGCTGTACCTTATCTTCGGTAAGGCGTGCCTCCATGCGTGTAGAATCTAATTCTATGCCCATAAAGTCTAGTACTTGGGAGGGGCCCAGGGTTTTGGACGCCACCACAGGGGCATGAACCGACATCAAAAAGCGAAGCAAGGTACTAAAGGAAGACAGACATTTTAAACGTCTAGGTTCGGCAAAAAAGAAATTGTCCAGGATATGGAGTACGTGTTTTAACCCATAACTATGGTTCAAAACCCATTCCAGGGCATCCGATAATTGGTTAAATAGAAACGGGGCCGAGCGAAGCCCGAAGGGGAGGTATAGATCGACGTAATATTGATTGTTCCAGTGAATCCCCAAGAGATCCCAGTCTTTGGGATGGATGGGAATTAGGCTGATTTGAGGTCGGATTTGGCCATGAATGACCCTAGTCACAGTGATTTAAGAATGCGAATAGCACCGTCCACCCGAAAGTACTGAAGGGTATAGGGATCCTTGGGTATATGGTCATTAACACTATCACCTTCAGGATAGGATAAGTGGTAAATAGTCCGCCACTCGTTAGAGTGTTTCTTAGGTATTACCCCCACCGGGTGACATTGGAAGTTAGGAAGTGGGGGAGATTGAAAAGGGCCTGCTACGCGACCCAGTGCGATCTCCTTGGTCAGATTGGATAGTACCTACGTCTGGTTGTTGATCAGCCGATTGTAAATTACGGGATACCCGAGGCTGACGGGGACCTATATAACCAACAGGTGTGCCATAACGGAGGGAATTAATTAAATTAGCTACAAAATGACTATCCGGTTGACCAGAAAGTTCCTTTGATAAAACATCAATGTTAATAGGGGTAGAAACCGGCGGCTCAATGTTTCTCGCTTGAAGTGGACTTTATCTCTTGCTGCGATCGCTCGTGTTACTGGATCCGTTTGAGCGGCGGTTAGCTTTGGAGAAACTGCTAGGACAGGCGACGATAGAATGGTCTGCGGATCGGCAACGGCGCCAGACATACGAGAAAGGGCAGGAACGCGACTTGCATCCGGACGATCTGTTGAAACGGAAGCAGACGGGGCCGTTCTTGGAGGACTGGCGGAAAGGATCGGCGTTGGAGCAGGAACTTTGGCTATGGTGGGGGCTAGAACACACAAGACAGTGAGGCAGCCAGGCCAGAGAAGGTTGCCGTCCAAAGTTCTATATCCACCTGGTCCCAGCTAATGTATGTATGTATGTAAATCTTTATTTAAACACGGGAAATCATCAGTTAAGCTTAAGTTAAAAACTAAAACTAATTACAACTGCTTTACATGATTGCCGTGTGGGAATCCGATATATCAGCTACCTTCTTGATATTTCGCTTATTTTAGCTGGTCCCAGCTAATGCGTAAGTCATTTGCGGCTTGGCGGCGAAAATGTTCGTCGTAGGCCAGAAAAGCGGTACCCTGGAATTGGAGGCCGTCCTACTAATGATTTGCTGGTATTTGAGCAGTTCAAGGGATCGCCGTGGATGGGAGCCGACAATGACCAACGCATACGCAATGAAGGCGTCTAACCACTTATGAAAACTATCAATAACAGGTTTCCGCTCGCCGACCATGGTTACTGGGAAGGAGCCCGGGATTGAATCATCTACCCGAAGCTGGATATCGGGGGCGTGGGGCCGATCTAGCGAGTCGGGTAGCAACAAATAAAAATCGAAGTACTCACCCCGGAGCAGGGGGTAAGCTACTTCCCATACATTCTCTTAAATGAAATCCAAACGATGTTCTCACAACTTGCAAAGCGATCAGCATAGGTCTTGGCAGCGGAGTTTGTGTAGCGATCATGCGCATTACGTCAAAATCCATAGATCAACGGTCTTGAGAAGAAACAAAAACATGGCGATCGAAGGCGGGACTGTTTCTCACGATTGTATTTTAGTAATTCGCAAATTTATTGATTTTATGTCGCTTTTCAGACATAGTGTGTGGTTTTCTTTTTCTGTTAAACAATTTCCCTCTGCAGAGTTTGGAATATGCAACTCCGTACAGCTGATAAGAACCGCCGAAGAGCTAGAGTTGAGCTATCAAGCAGTGTTTTGCTGCAAACCTTAGGAAAGTTAAAGTCGCTTCAAGGTACAGAGCTTTCAGTAGTAGTTGTGATTTGTTTATTAGGATCGTTTTGAATTTTAACTTTGGATTCAAGGTGTTGACTGATCGTAATAAACGAAGTGAAATGTTATGAAGTGTGAATGTTTATTCAGTTATGATTGTAGAGCTGTAAGCTCATATTTATAAAGCTCTCTGAATTACTTACTTCCGATAAATTTGACACTTTTTCCAGTAATATTTATCAGCATCAAGTTATCCTTACCTGGCAAAAACGATGTAACCTATAAATCAATCGAGCGCATTGTTGTTGGTTAAGATCTAACACGGTTTCCCCCGCACTTTCAGTACCGAAAGACAAATACGATGTGCAACAAAAACAAAGATGCATGATACTATTTTTTTCAATTTTTATTTTTTTAGTAAGCATTTCTGATCTCCTCTGCCGGTCGCTTCTTGCTTCTAAAAAGTCTAAAAATATTTACTATGGGAAACGTACTGCAATTTTCCGCTGACCACCACGCGGGGTGACCGCTTTGCAAGTTGTGAGAACATCGTTTCTCGGTCCCAGACCTCGTCTCTCCCCCCCCCCCCCCGCCCCGGAGAATTTTATGTGGTAAATTCTGTTTCAGCGGACGGTTAAGACCCACCGGAGCAGCCGATCCTGGCCTTCGATGTAGAGTGTTGAAAGTACCAGGCTGTTGGTCGTGCCCTAAAGACCAGGGGAATGATTGCAACGCTTGCTCGAGCGAGGACCTGACGGTGTCCTGTATGGCGGCCAGTTGAGCGATGGTGAAAGGTCCGGCTTGGACAGGATCGGGCAAGTCGTCCGAAGAAAATTCCTCCATGATTTCGTCAAGGTCGCCAAGAGACGCAACGCTCGAAGAGTCATCACCTGGGTCACCCATATTTGCTTGTTCGGTTGTGGATTCTGCGGGAGCAGCGGTTAATGTGGCCCTGACCGGCCGACTTGTCGGTGCCAAACGTTTCCTCCGGGCGCGTCCGGCTTGCGGATTTGAGGTCGAGCAGGGCTGTTTTGTCCCAGTCGCCAAGTTAACACGTGAGATGAGGGCTGCTTTGCCTCCCGTGATCGGAAGGTTGAGTGCTTGAAGGCGAAGGCGAAGAACTTCGGTCGAAAGCGAAGCCAAATCGTTTTGCTTCGAGGGCGGCCATTGGAAACTTGCTTACTCGGACGAGCCATTGACAAGCACGAGAACTACTTCTTAGAGATTTGATAAGGGCTATAGTATAACACTGCGTTACAAATTGTTGATTGAGGGCCTCACGCTCCATTAACTGCGTTTTACAATTGGGTTGTAAAACTCTCTTATAGATCTAAAATATAGTCATTTTGTCATTGAATTTTTGACACTTTTGAAAACTTTTATATTTATTAAATAAGCTGTACGAATCAAATTGGAGATTATCTTAATGATATATATTAAATGCAGCTTTCAATTTCACAAGAAGTATATTTTTATGCATATTTAACTTAAGCTTTTGTTTTAAATATAGTTCTACCCCTGGAATCTCCCTCACTGGCACGGAATTTAATCTGTGATTAGGCTTTTTTTCTGTCGGGGAAACACCTTAGACATCTACTTCATGAGTCGTCTGCCGCCCCCTAATTAAGGTATCTACCAACATTTGGGTTATTGTGTCAAATTTTACTGGACATGCATTCAAGCCGTTTCCAACAAAGGTGGCTATTATCAAAATGTGTTTCTCCGCTTTCCAGGCAAGAGGTGAATTTTAAGTTGATACAACAGTCGTGAGCGAAAACATCACAGATTTTAAAGATCAAGTCAGCAGTGTTGTTATTGTAAATCTCGCATTATCATTGTTGTGTGGTAACTTAGTTCATACTGTCAAGTGAAACAAAATAATTTCTTTAAATAACAGAAGAGAAATAACTGAAGTGGCCAAAACTCTGCAGCAACAACTCTTTCATGTTCCTTCATAGGTTTGCATACTTTTGCGCAATTGAACTCAATCATACATCAAAGATCATAGGAAAAGGGATTTCGCAGAAATTGTGCAAATTTTTTCTGAATGCCGGGCATTTATTTATACTATTATTGCCAGTTATCATAATCATCATCATCATTATTAATTTTTTATCTGTATGTTTATTATAATTACTTTTTTGAGATCATCCTGGCTGCCGGGCAAAAGCCTCACTTGTTCTTTAAGGAATAATGGAGAATGTCGAGAATATTCGACAAGCTTCGGGATCATACATGATAGTTTGAAAAATTTCTTACGCTGACCTATGGGTGCTTACGCAAGTGAACGGATTTCACGTGTGCAGCAGGTGACATTTGATCTACCCACGGAGTGAAATTGAGTGAAACAAAAGTACTTTTATTTTCGTCAGCTGGCCCTGCCTTGCTCATGAGCGACAAGAATCACATATCCCTTTCTAATTTCAAAATTTTATAGAGAGGTCATAATAATTAAGATCATATCGCTATCACCCAAGGTGAATTCTCTCGGTGTTCTAACAATTGTATTTTACCGCGGAAAGAGGAAAATATATACCTGTTTCGGAACAAATAATAATGTGCCAGACATATCCGATTTACGGTCAGGAGAAAAACAATGGCTACACTTCGTGGCACAAACTCACGGGGGGGGGTACTCCCTTACATAAGCCGGTAGTACAGTATGTGCTGCCCCAAAGGATTTTTTTTTTTTGCACCGTTTTGGTCTGAAAACGGATATACATTTTGCCCATTTTTGTCTCGAATCGAGTAGGGTTTTCGAGGGAACTACGGGAGTGTATGAACGTATTTGTCGTTGCAGTTTCAGATGAATACTGAGAAAGAAAGAGTTATGTACAAAGAGGATTTAAAGCAATCTCTTATTTGGCATTCTAATCTCAGTTATGATAACAATTTCTTAGAGACCAGGTCGGGTATGGCCTGGGTATGGCCTGGTCTGAAAACAGTTGTGGAAAATGACACTTTTTTGGTCTGAAAGAGCGTCAGGATTTTGAGAACCTGGCGGCACAGCCCAACAAGAATTCCTAGGAGTACCCCCCGGGCACATACTACGCGAGTAGTGTCTCGAAGAAAACACTGAAATCTGCAGCACTTTCACCAGACGTCAATTTTTTCTTTTTAAAAAATATACGCAATATTTGAGGTATTTGACACTAAGTGGGCAAAAATTCCCAAGACGTAGCTTGTATTCGTTAAGCTGATTTATTTGACGTGGCTGTAATCTTACCCTTTTAGGACTGACATATCGCCTAATTTCATACCGCGCGGGGGCCTGGCACTACCGGATTTTCCCAGACTTTTTAAAAAGTCCAGTTTCAAAATGGCGGATAGTCGGAGTAAAAACTCGAACAAAAGCATTCTTTTTCGAAGAAATTTTGATCAATATTCCCACGAAGAATGTGTCTAAACTTAGTAAGGAAAGGATGTAGTATTTCGGCCATGCCCTGAAGCTAAACTTAAGAAGCCGACACCCAGAAAGTGCAAGCAATTGTTCGATGAACAGGTCGCTCGAACCAAACTTGATTATAAATTTTCTACAGCAAAGGATCCTGTGTTTAATTCTACCCGCATATGAAAATTGGAGGATCATTGCAGGAAAGAACGTAGCCTAAGTATGCTGGAGCAAAACTTAAAAGGGCAGTACAGAAGGTATTCCCGTCGCGAAAAAGAGTAATGTCCGTGAAAGGTACTGAGTGTAGTGAACTTTGTGGCGTTATGTATGTTAAACCTAGTGTTGTTCACATGAAAGGAGATAAGGGACTAGTCTATACTCAGTGCATGCTAGCCAAAAGGGAGATGTACGTGACATTCTTGATTGCGATTACAAGGTGATTGCCCAAATTACAGGAACTGCAGTGTTACCGGACGAGAAATGCCTCTCAAGTAAGACTGAAGTATACATACCTCTTATTAGCCGAGTTTTCGGTCCGTACTGTAAATTACGGACCGAGTTTTTTTCCATCGATTTCGCGCTTGGGCCATAAATCGATGGAAAAAAACGAGGATCCGTAATTTACAGTACGGACCAAAAAAACGAGGCTAATAAGATGTTTATTATATGGCTTCTTCCTGTTTGGGGGACCGGAAACAAGTACAGGACGCACGATTTGACAGTCATTTGACAGGTGTCAAAAAAGAAAGTTTTTATTGGCGCACGAAAACAATAGCACATAACAAAGGCTTTCCGAGAAAGTAAAAAACAAATTCGCCATGTTAAGAAAGTTTATTCGGTCAAAACTAAGAGCACTGTAAGTTTTAGCTCTTTAATGTAACGCTGGAGTATTTTGGACACTGTGTCTGTCTAGAAGTCTTTTCAAACTTTCCTCCGTTTGTCGTTGTGAAAAGACACTGCAAAAGGCAAAGAAGCTTTTTAAGGTAAGTTTGTTGTCATTGTCGAAGGATTCGCTCGTTAATTGTTTTTGGGAAAACCTCTCCTTCTGCCAGTTCATTCTCGTCTTCAATTGTGATCTGCGTTAAAATTTTCAAACACTGACTAGACTGACTCTTCCTCGGTAAGGTTACGATTCAGTTTCTACAACAGCTTCGTTCTCATTAAAACAAAGCTAGGTTAAAATTTGGAAAGGCAAAGTCAACATCCCAGTCCTCACGGTTTACATACATATTTCAAAGTTTATTCGGTGGAAACTAAGAGCGCTGTAAGTATTCACTCGTTATTGCGACGCTGGAGTATTTTGAAAACTGAACATTATTGTCTGGATCGAACTCGCTTCTATCTTTCTTTCGTTAGTCTTTGAAAGAACGCTGCAAATGGAAAAGGAGCTTGTCAAGATGATCGGGTGCAGGTATGTTTGTTATCATATTTGTTGAAGGAATTACTCATTTTCTCTTAGGCAAAACATCTCGAATCTCTGCCAGTCGATTTTCGTCTTCTTAACTGTGTACTATACGATAAAATCTTCAAAACTAGAATCCTCTTCGATAAATTTTATTCATTGCCTTCGTTCACAAATCAACACAGTTTAAAATGTTGAAGGCCAAAGTCAACATCCAAGTCCTCAAGGTTGACAGGCATCTTGTAACTTTATTTAAACATTTTTTCCGAAATAAAAAGATTTAGACCTCCGAAATGAGCATTCTCTTTAAAAGATTTGGTCCGTATAGCAAGTTACGGACCGCAAATTGACCAATCGCATGGCGAAAAAGGACTCAGCCATATAATAATTGCTTTTATCCTTGCTCAGTGAGAATTGTTTCCGGTCTGATTTTTAGGATTTCTACTGAGATCGTACACAGCGACGGGGAGAATATCTAATGTAAGCCTTGCCTACCTAATATACAATGTTGCCCTTTCACTCGGGTCACTCTGGCGTGTTTCGCTTTTTGGTAGTTTTTATTTTACGGTTTGTAAAAACAGGTACACCCACTCCCTTATCATTCCCCAATATTCGGTCGGATCCAGCGCCGTAAAAAGAGCTAAACTCGACGGTTCTTTGTTCAAATTTTTCGTCGAGCAATTGGGGAATCCTTCCAATACTTCCAAGTAGCGAAAGTCTCCAATTAGATCTGTCTTTTCTCGAAATTTTTAATCGAAGTTCTTTATAGCAGTAAAACAACTGTTCTTAGCTTCAGAATATTAACTTTCTGGAATAATCTGGCTCTTAATATCGTTTCAACTATACGCAAAGACCTTTGCTTTACCTTCTATTTCGGAAGCCATTTTCAATCCGGAATTTACAAAGTCCGGGAAAATCAGGTAGTGCCAGACTCCCGCGCGGCAGGAAATTAGGCAATGCAGCCCAGATGTCAAGGAGAATGAATTTTATAAGAATTATAATGATCGAAATGACTAAGGGCAATCACAAAAAAGTAACATTCTACGGCGCCCTGCGGTTTTCTCTTATCAAGCCGATTGTTATTTTTTAGGGATACTCCCTGTTGTTAAACAAACGACTTTTTATGAAACTGAAATAGTAATAAGCATTTGTAAGCCTTAAACAGACGTGCAATGAAATATCTTTCTATTAACAATTTCCGACAGGAAGGTTAAGCGCCAAAGATTACGTCCACACCCAAAAGAACCCACAAAATTCACTACAACTTTTATTAGCGTTACCGGTAATTGTTTTATTACTATCACACCGTATTATCAATGTCTTTTGGCGTTAATGTGCATCGTGAATTGTCTACTCTGGTATGGATAGAGAATGCTCTGAGTGCTGCGTGAAATCCGCGCTCTGTGTATAATATTGAGTGTGAACGAATACCCAGTTCCAGGCGTTCAGATAGTAGAGCGAGGTCGTTTTTTTTTTCTTCGTGAATTTTTCTCCCGCGCTCTACTGACTGAACGCCTGGAACAGGCCAAGCGGCTAGTGAACGAATATATCTGCAGTATGAATTATTATAATTATTATGGTCTTTATCATTGTTGTAGTTATTACAATTGGATTTCTTATAAAAATTATTATTGTCATCATCATTATCATTATTATTATTATTTTTGCGTTAATTAGTCCTAGTTTACTGGACATTAAATGGACTAAGGTAATAATGGTTGTGGGCACAATTTGCAAGCAGTTGTTCTCTGAAACGTAGCACATCTAGCTTTTAAAAAAATCCTCTTAGATTGGTTGATGGACAGTTAGTGCTTTAATCCAAAATACGAGATAGCCTCAGTGGAAACGGTACAATGGATTATAAAACTGATGTAGGGAAACCGAATATCGTATTAACATGTTGCTATAAAGTGATAACGTACACACGAGAATTTGTTTAGTGGCAAAGATTAAGCACCGTTAGACTAGTGCTTTTAGCCTGAGTACTTCATGCAAACTAGCCGGCGATAATGGAAATAATCGTGGTGCGAATCGCGAGGGGGTGAGGATAGGGAGCTGGATTCCCTCGTAACGCCCTTCAAAACTCACTTCAGAGAGAAAAAAAGTTACGAGCATCAACACTTATGGGCCCTTAGAGGGCTGTGAACAGTCCAGAGTGGTGTCAAATGTTTAACCAACCTTGATGGATTAAGCCAAACATAAATCAGCGGAAAACTTGTGTGATTCAAAACACGAACAAGACATATACAGCATAAAAAAATTTGGAGGGGCTGTATCTCAAAATCAGATTCTTTAACGTTTTTGTTAAGAGAATAAAACAAAAAAAATGACCGTTGAACTGAAAGCCAAAGCAAAAAAAAGCATCAATTTATTCTTGATATACGTGACCCTCCACAGGAATTTGATGCTAAAGGTGAAAGCAAGCTCACGACACGCTTGCATGACATGCTTAGCGTGCCGTAGATCACAGATATGACGTGATATGCGCAAATTAAAATTTATGATAAAAGCGACTCCGCCAACTTTTACAACTTTCAGCCGACTTACTTCCATTTTGCATTGATCTGTTTCATTGATCTGTTTTTATTCGAAAACATTTTGAACATTTGACAGTGATAGCAACGAATAACAGTGGTAACAATAAATATTCTTTGTATAGTCTGTACTGCCTCAACGACATCAAATTAATCATAATTTTTTTTACTAAACCACGCTATAAGCACTTAAGCGTTTGGGGCTGCTGCTTACCAGTGTTTTGTTAATTAGGTTGCCCCCTTATACGCTCCATTATCAAATAATAGTCCGAAATAGCGATGAATTGTGGACCTACAGTCTTTACCGATAAATAAAACTTGTGATGAAAAGTGGTTGAAACTGTGTAACTAGGTCAGTTGCTTTCATTGGCATTTTCCCTTCTTCTCTCCCGCAGCCTACTTCAAAAGACCTTAAGACGCCTTTTAATATACAGCATCCTTTTCATTCTTCTCCTTTTAATAACCGTGGAGAAGATAAAAAGACTGAACGTTGTGCACAGACAAGGCAATTAGATTTCTCTATTTTAAAAAAATACAGAGGGAACAGCTTCGTAATGAAAGTGGAATGTTTCATTTAAGATCTCTGTGAAAGTGAGATATTCTGTACTGGTGAAGTAACAGATAAAATGACCAAATTGATATTTCTCTCTTTTGTCATCTTGAAGAAGCGAATAAACAATTTATTTTCTTTGCAGATGCTTTATTTGTATGGACTGCCCCGCCTCCTGCATGGAATCAAACGGTGGCTGGAAGCAATAACGTTCAAACTGCTGTTATGCGAGTGTTGCAGGGGACTAGAAATTATCAAGTAACGTGGAAATACAATCTGTTGGGTGGTCAGACCATACGGTTTAAACTGTTCAGCACTCGTTATGGTTCTGGAGTTCGTGATTACATTGGAGATGTAACCGGCAGAACCCCTGTTTTATACAACCGCCACGATTACATGGCTCGATTCCGCTTGAATAGCACAAGTAAATTTTCTACCTTGAGAATAAATACTACCTTTCAGTGTTGGATGCAAGACGGCGGAAATACATGGGCTTACAACGTGAGGATTGAAGTCATAGGTATGGTATTTGGTATTGCTATCTCAATAAAAACGTTCATATAACACTCAAGTAACAGCTGAAATAAGTTTTAGTCCTCGAAAACTAGGTACGTGAGTTACTGGAATAGCTTTGCCTCGAGTATTGAGGAAAGTGACGTCTTGGGGCCTCTCTTTTCTTTTATATTTCTTCAATCCCCGAGGTATATTCATTAGCCCTCAGACAAATTAAATGCTGTGATATTTATGTTATTCCGAACTGAGTCGATATCATATTTTTTAACCATGTTTGGTTAATTTGCGCGCCCTATGATTGGTTAAAACATGCTTTATGACGATGCAAAAAAGCTTCAGCGCTTATTATATTATGTATATTTATTTGTCTCTATGTTATATTTTACTGCATATGATATCGTGGTATGTCCTATTGATTATTGTTCTGTGTCATTCACTTGACAGTTCCTCCGGAAATCACTAACATTACCTATGACAGAACAGTAAATAAAGGGGATACCGTTATCCTTGACTGTAAAGCCACTGGGTATCCAGCACCAACGATCACTTGGACAAGGGTGTCCGATAATAGTGTTTTAAGAATGCCTTTGACTATAAGCGGTAAACAGGATGAGGGAACCTATAAATGTACTGCTGAGAATGGATTTGGCAAACCAGCCAGTAGGGATGTCTCTCTTACTGTTCAGAGTGAGTATGCAATAAACGTAATTAAAACCCCATTGCCGCGGGGGCATGAACATTTGTTTATATCAAAGGGATAGGCGCATAACGGAGTATCCATCCCAATATGATACGTACAATGGGCCTTTGCAAACTTTGTGAAGCGTGCGTAGGATTAGCGGGCGAGTGTTGTGGTTTCTGGCAGCGGGGCCGTGTAAAAAAAAAAATCCTGCCAGCTAAGCAGGCTAAACGTTGTGATGATAGACATATAGCCATATAACTAAGTTCTGAGTTTAATTGTGTGCAGATATCATCTTTTCATTTGATACTCAGTTTTATATGCACTTTGATATTATAAAAACACTATTTCGGCCAGTAATATTGCCTTTCTATTCTCTCTTATCACTGATCTGTCTTTCCACATGGTGTTGAAGCAGTCGTATAATATTGAATTTATTACATTTAGATATTCTTGAACATGATTACTAGTACAATTGTATACTCATAGAATTATAGTTAGGTTGTATTCTTCCGATTGTATTATATATCACTTGTTTATTCAGTTTTTTTTAACTGCAAGTGAAATAAACTATTTTATTATTATTTGTTATTTTTATAAGTAAGAGGTAGGGAAATTAAAGAATTAAGGAAGTTGTTTGTGGTAAAAAAGGGCGATGGTATAAGCACGGTGATAGAATGAGGAAATGACTCTACTGCAAGGTTCGATCTAGATCAAAGTACTGGGAGTCTCTGGATTGGATTTTTTGATTAAGGCATAAAATTTCCAAAGTAGCCCCGAAAAAGGTTCATAAGCCCACAAGAGACTGAAGATTACCTTTTCACGTTGGAGACGATCAATCAGACTTTCGTAGATAACTATGACTGATGTTCATAATTTTTTTTTCAGCTCCTCCAGTAATTACCTCACCAAAAGAGCTTACTTGGAAAATAATGGCCGGAGAAAGCGTTACTATTGAATGCTTAGCAGAGAGTGATCCCAGTTCAAGTTATGTTTGGAAGAATACAGCTGGTGCCGTTGTTGCTGATGGCCGAGAACTTAGACTTCACAATGTAAACGACAGTAGTGGAGGAAATTATATTTGCACAGCAACAAATAAGCTTGGGTCTGACGATCGTTCAATTATTGTACTAGTCAGAAGTAAGCTGTTCTTTTCTTTTTATATTTCTTCAACTTACTGACAGCGTGCATGCCTTTCCAGGAAACCTCTAAAGAAAAAGGACAAAAACACATCGGACGATCGAAAACCATTTGCTTTTGATATGTGCAGGCTGGTCCAAACGATTCAACAAAAACTTTGCTTTGAATTTTTTTTACACTCAGAACACTCTAATCAGAAGGGCGAGGTGAAGCCAACACTACCGACCTGGCTTCAAATCAAAATCAAAATCAAAATCATGCCTGAGATCACAGTTCCCAGCTAGAATTTCTGCAAAAGTCAGGCGGTGAAAATCCTTTAAAACGTTGCTTGGGGTTTTAAGGTCCTTTCTACGAGAAGACTTGTATATCTATATCATTCTGCGCGCAGACGTGAAACAAAGGCCCAGTAGCTGAAGACGCTGGGTGCTGGTCTGGTTGAGATAAAAGAGCTCCCCTCTTACAGTGTAAATAATTAATGCAGTGAAAATCAACTGGTTTAAGAGAAGGGTTTACGTTAAAATTAATTAAATGATAGTTCATGATATCATTGGTTTTGAATCAAGGTCAACAGTCACTTCTTCCAACTTTTTAGGAACTAAAACTTATGGTACAATAGCAGTTGATAGCGAATTTAAGTCAGGCATGGAGGACATAAGCAGTGATGTTGCAAAAGAGTTTGCAGAACCCTTCAAAAAAGAGGTATCATTAATTAATTCATTCATTCATTCATTCATTCATTCAACCATTCATTCATACATGCCTCATTCAATCATTCTTTCGTTCATTCGTTCATTCATTCATTCATCTTTTCTCTCTTCATTCATTTTTTCTCTTGCTTCTCCTCAGCCTTACATTTTTAAATCAACAATTCATTCCTATATCGTTTTATGTTTATTTCCCTTATATATAGGCGTTTGTCAAGTTAAACTTTAGAAAATGAATACTTTAATTTCATTGGATGGAAAGCGTAACTATAACGTTAACCTCGATGGAGCTATTGGAAAAACAAAATATTAAGCTTTCGTGAAGGATTGGCTAGCCAAATATTACGCTATGTTATTGTCAGTATGAAAGAAGAAGGAGAATTCAAACACCAGAAAGCTCAGAATAATTTCTGATCTCCAGGTGAGTGAATCGAACTCACGACCCTCTGAGTTCTGGTTCGGACGCTTTTGTCTAAAATTTCTTAATATTCTATTCTTTTCAGTTTGACAAACTGAACAGCAATACAGCTGGCTTTGATAAATCAGAATTTCTAAAATTCAGGTGAGTAAATATGCGAATTGTTTAGTCATTTAGGATTTCAGTTGTGATCAATAACCCTTCAGTACCGGCTTCTTCCAAACCATATCAAGGCACTGTGATTATTTCAGATTATTGTAGATTATTCTGGAGTAGGCACATAATTGCGTTTTATTTTGGTTTTCTGTTTGCACAATAACGCAACATTTTACAGCGGTTACCACTAACACGCGCCCTCGAATGGTTTTTTCCTTTGTGGTTGAAACCTGAGTTTTCGTGGACGTCAATCAAATGTTTCCATGGTTTCCTCACGTGCTCTGACAGAGAAGGTTCCCTCGTCGCTAAACTAAGGGCGAAGACTTACCAGAATAATTTCGAATGACGATCGACGGCGTTTTTAATTTATTTATTTGATTAAGATGAAGGATTACATTGTTAAAACAAGAGGTCTCTGCGAGCTGAGTGAAATAGCCGAAATACTCTCTATAGTTAACATAATGGTTTTCAGGTTGTTTATTTACAAACTGTATTTATTTGATTCTATGAAAAGACGGGTGCCGTGGACGAATTACCAAGGACCCGCATAAATTCAAAGAGACGGAAGATATCACATCGACAAGGCACAAAGGTTTCCTATGAGCGAAGGCTGTTTTCGAAAATGAATTTTGTTCCCTGCAGATCTATTTATCATTCTTCATGTTATCGAATACTCAATAGAATCCTGAACTCGAAAGAACTCAAACGAGTTGCCAGCGTGTATTGAGAAAGCTTATGTGGTTGTAAAATTTCAGTGTTCAAATAAGTCGATAATTCGAGTTTCCTCCGACAAACACTCCACAAATTCGTACTCCTTGTAATCTTGACATATAGCAAAAACTGCTTAAACGCCGACATTTTCCTCCCAGAGCTCGAGAAACGGGGAAAGAATCTTCTATTGGCCAACGCGTAAACAGGGTTAGGGTTGATTGACGTCCACCAAATAGCAGGTTTGAACCAAAGAAAAAACCCTTTGAGGGCGCGTGTTAGTGCCTGGGTAACCGCTGTAAAAGGGAAACTCTCTTGCAATCCAAGAACAGACGTGTATACCCAGTCCAACATTTGAGATTTATATCTTGTTTTATACGTAAAAATTACGTAAATCAATCTTAATTTATCATTAGGCTAAACTGCACAGAAATCAGTTTTCCAGACGTTAATTATTTTTGTTACCGTCCATAGGAACGGCAGTATAATCGTGTACTTTGTGCTGCACTTTAAACTCCCAGTCAGTACAAACGAAGGAACTTTACAAATAAAGAATGCAATGGAGAGAGGAACAATTGGTAGTTACCGAGTAAAAACTTTCAAAACTATTGAGGAATTTGAAGTGGATCCCACCACTTCTCCTTCAGTAGGAAGCATAGCTACCCACTCATCTACTTCATCCATTTCTCCGGGGAAGAAGGTTAATAAGGACACATCAGGTAAGATAAGGAAATATGCATGGCATTGTATTTCGTATCAGTTAACTCATATTTCTTTTAAAGTATGAAATTAGTATGTGTAACCGATGGTGATTTGTCCTGATTCTAATAATTACATACTCATTGAGCTTACCGTTTGAATACCTAATATCATAGGTGACAAATTTGCGCACCCGCAATCGTGGTATTTTTACTTGTTTATCGTATTGAGAACTTCACGCACTGAAAAGTTTAGAGCATCAACTTTGGCTTAAGTTCATAAGGTTGGGAATTGTTCGACAAAATCCCCTGTTTGAATTCAACTTGGTGCGCTCTTTCGTGTGTTTAAGTTTTCTAAAAAGTCTTTTAATGCCCTGACATCATCATGCATAACATTTTGCAACTTTGAAACCAATTTGGCTCTGGGACGTACGGAGCGTTTCCATGACAAATTTGTGATTTTACACCAAAATTAAGGAGTAATTTGTCACCCACGATATTAAAGCAACAAATTTTTGAATTTTTTCCGCGCTGTAAGCCCCGCTGGACAAATTTTTGTCTCGTGGGCTCATTAGGAACGAGCCAATGAGAAGCGTCTGATATTTGACACTTTTTTAGCTGGGACGTAAGAAAAGGACACCATTCCAAAGCACGAAGCATTGAAAGAATGAATCTTTAATGCATGCTGATTCCTTTCTCTTTATTTCGAGAGTTGCTGCATCCAAAAACCACACATTTTTCAACCATCTTCTGTGTTTAACAAGAACGATTTACCGCGAGTCTTCGCATATTTTTGCACAATGTCCTTTTCTTACGTCACGCTCCATATTTGGACACATTTGGCCGATTGGGAGACTAATGCGAACGATAGGTGAAAATATCCACAAGACTGCCTTCACCTTTAGCGCTCGTAAAAAAAAAAGATTCAGTATTTCTGAAAATTTTTTTTGAAAATGAGTTTTTAAAAGATATGGAAATCTACCAAAAGAAAACAAATTGAAGGGTAAGGGGCACTTTAAGTGAAGACAAAAATGCCCAAATCCTCCCTTTAATTTTATAGGCACACCTCTAGCAGAAACTTTTATTCCACGATCTCAACGCCCTAAGCGACATACGTTTTTTATCAAACAATTAGGAGCCAAGACAAGAGTAGCTGGTTGGGCATTTGAGGGCAAAATCAAACTCTGCATTAAAGTAAGCGTTTTCTGCTCTATGAGCGAAGAATGATCCAACGATGGCCCTTCCACCGTCTTATATGATGGAACTGCATAGGGTTGCGGCGAGCAAAAAAAAATTATTCCAAGAAAGAGGAAGACCTCACTTTCTTTTAAAATGGCGGCCTGATGTGATCGACTTTTGAAGGAGTGTTCGTAATAAAAACGCGAAATCGGTGCAAGGTTTCCAAGAGGAACTGTACAGCCCCAAAGAAACCCCAATCCTCATTTTTTTTCTAGAATTAACCATAGAATTAGCCGCTTTACATTACCCAGCTACTATCAGAGGTAATCCAAGTGCTTCTGTGAGTTGTTCTGCAAGTCAACAGGGACAGTCCCGTTCCTATTACATGTAGGAAATATTTAACAGCAAATTTCCGACGGTTCTCATGTTAGTACCCATGTTTTCGAGATATACTATATAGGGAAGTTAATCATGTTTCTGTAACATGAGTAACCGAGGTCGAGTATGGCTACTACCCCCTCCCCCCTCTCCATCCCCCACCAGATGAGAACAGCACTAGATCATTATAAGTTTACATTGTCTTTGAAGACCTTGGTAAAGAATCTTCCCATCGTCAGGATGTTATGCAAATCAGTTAGGAGATGCGGTCAATCAAAGATAATAATTACTAACAAACAATAAATTATTATTATTATTATTATTATGAAATTTATAAACAGAAATTTCACTCTATTTTGTAGATGGACCTCCTTGGATAATAATTGGCGCTGCTGCTGGTGGAGCAGTGTTGGTGATTGCCATTATTGTGCTTCTTATATGTTGCCTGCGGAAGGACAACAAAAGTGAGTAGTTTAAAATATGTTAGCCATGTTTACTTGAAGCTGGCATAGAGGAGCTTAGTTGACTAAAGGATAAAGTAGCCTTGCTTAGGCTTCGAACATACCATAAGAGATTGCAAAATCCCCTAACAAATTTCAAAAGCCCTTTGCTTGTCATTTCATCTTTCAAATAACGAAAGCTCATTATTCTCGTTCAAATAGCTGCTAACGTTTTTCCTTTTCTTTTTATCCACATCGTTTCATCAACTTGCATACGTGACGTGCTACACCATGATTTAGAAGGTGGAAGCAAAGCATTGTGAGTACGATTTTGCTTCTTTCCTTTTTGCTTGTATGTTTTGTCACAATTCTCCAAGATATTCCTTTTGTTTATTACATATGTTAACTAACAAGGCGCTATTAAGAAGTTAAGGAGAAAAATAATTAGATAAGGCTGATTTTGATCTGAAGGATTATGGAGATCGAGGAGGGCTTTATGCGCCGAAGTGAAAGGTTCAGATGGATAAAAGCCTCCTCGATCTTCAGCGAAAGCCGATTAGAATTCATGAATTCAAAATAATAGTCCAGACAATGGCAACATGACGTCATTTTATTCTAGAATCCTCCAGATTGTTGTTTTCTTGTGCAAAGTAGAGCTATTGTTGATAAATGACTTCTGGTAGTTTTAGTCAAATTTCGCCACCTTGAAAACGGCCCATGCATTCTTAGCTTAAAGCTTACCTCGGTCGATGTAAAGTTCCTGTCATTTCCCTGTTTCGTCTCAACTCAGGATATAAAAGGATATCAAGGCATAATAATTCTTGCAGATATTCTTCAAATATTATGCACATGTCATCCGGGCGAGTTGTATTCTTCTTCTCCGCGAAACGTGTAAAGTTTTCCTCCATCTGGCACTGCTTTACCTCGGCCACAGGTTTTCTCGGTTGTAGTCTATTTTTCTGGCATTAACGCCGTACTCTTGAGGTCATTTTCCAAATATCCCAAATGTCTTTCAAAGCTGGTTATGAAGAATATACTCTGTCATTTGAGCCAATCAGAAACGTAAGAATATTTTGATTAAATAATAATTCCATTACTACGGTGGGTCTGATTGCTTTTCTCAATGTTGTTGTAGGGACCCAATAACATAAATCTAGAACGATGTAATTCTCGCCGTAACTAGTGATGTTTCAACGCTTGTTTATAAACTAGGTAAAACTCACATGTGTACAATATATTTTGTTTGAATTTCTGTTTTCCTTATTTCCGGGTGTAGCGGACTATTGCACAATTTACCCGCATAATTTATACTTTAAAATTCCGTTTGCGAACTATTATTCTTTTTTTCTTTTTTTTTTTTCTTTCAATTTATCCATTCATTCTTACTAATTCTATAACAGGGCCAGAGAAAATGAAATAGAGCACAGCGCGGTAGAAGAACACACCCATGAACAAAAACCTGTGAAGGTTTGTTGAATTGGCAATATTAGCTGAAGAAAATAAGGGGAAATGCCTGCATAGCATGTGGGTGTTTTGCATTTCACACGCTATTTCGTCGAGTTTGTAATCGCCTGGGAAAAGCAAATCGTCGTTGTTGTTTGGTTTTTGCTGTCGTTTTTTGGGCGCTTGCCGATTGGTGAGGTAATGGGTCTCATATATTTTAAGCTTTACCATTATAGCCAACTCATTCCCTTCATTTCAATCAAAAACAGAAACCTGGGGAAACCGTTTACGCTGGACTGCGTGATTTGGATCAACGTCAGGGGCCGAATAAACCTTCCTATCCAGACGCATTACCTCCTGTGAAGAGACCATCACTTATGAAAGGACAGATTACGCTGAAATCACTCACTTCATTAAAGGAGACGTCAATGGTCAGCAGCAGATGTGGTCGCCGAATGGAAAGAATGAGCCATGGATCGGCATGCAAATGTTTTGCTGATTGATAATTTGATTAATTTGCTGTTTCTTAAGCTTTAGTTTGATATTCGTATTCTTGTAATGTCAACGTTGAGCCATTTCAAAGAGTTAAACTAATAGTCAAAAACTTCCTCATCCACACAGTATTAAAAGTTTAAGAGGATATTTTATGTCATTTTTTCCACCTTAATCTGAAGAAGTGGAACATTTAAACCCCGGAAATACAAGAGGGAGAGTGGCACTAACCTTAAATGTCTTTGAGTCATGTCACAGCTCACCATAAGCGCAACATGATTATGTATACCATGATGTTAACATCATCAGGTAGACGACCTAAGGAGCTATCTATTTAGGGAAGAAACTTTTCAAATTTCGCATCGTAACTAAAACGCAGGCGGTTAGTGTCCGCCCTTGTACCATTGGTTTGAATTGGCATTTATGTAGTGATAAATGGGCGAAAATTAGGGGGATTTTATTTTATAATAGGCCAAGATCTTGCCGCAAACATGTACTTTAAATTGTATTTAACTAACTACACTGTATTTATCCGATTGAAAGTAAACATCTGAAGTAATTTTAAAATAGCATATGTGAGTATGTTGCTGAGAATTTCCAGGATGAATACATAATAATTCTTCAAATATAAAATACCGTAAATGACCTAATAAACGTCCACTTCCAAGTAAACGCGGCCCCCTATCTCATAAAAGCCCCCTACGCTCCAAAAATTTTATTAGACGCCCCGGGCGTTTATTAGGCCATTTACGGTACATCAGTATACATTCTAATGCGCAGTACTATACATGTATATAACATCCAATCAAGAGTATAAAATACCTAAAAACACAAACAGACGCAAACAGACAAAAACACAAACAGACACAAACTTAATTAAAAGCATATGTTCTGCTTCGTCCCAGAAAGCAGCGCTACCCTATTAAAAATTCCATTACAAATACACAAAGCAGGCTATAAAACATCCACACAGCATCAGGTCTACACGTTCAGGTCCTCAACGTTTGCGTACAACTGATTGTTGTAAATGCGCATGTTGATCAGCTTCTGTGGATGAAAAGAACATTTTGTAAAATTGCGTTAAAGTTAGTATTACAAAAACGAAGATGCATAAAAAAGAGACAAATGGATCAGTGCCATTCGCCGTCTTTATCAGTTACTCCTAGATGACATGTAAAAATTACGAAAAACCTCCCTCAAACAAGAAACGTTCCCAGCTCTTTCGATAATCAAGGCCCAAGAAACGTTACAGAAAATTATCTCATCGGATTATAATGCTATACGCTATGTTTATACTTTTTTGAGTCGATACACTACTTTTACAATTTTGCTGGGAAAGATTCTCATTGCATGTAATTATGGAAAACTAGTAAAAGCCTTAAAACAATCTTTTATTTTATTTATTTATTTATTTTGATTAACTACTAACAATCTCACCTTGTGTTGGTTTTCCATATCCTTGAGCTGTTTTGTCAATGCTGTGAATGACGGCCTCGCTTCTGGTTCATTTTGCCAACAATTCATCATGATTTGATACCTGAGAAAAATCATTTCATCTCTATTTGTGATTTCTCCCACTAATTTTTCTGGTATTGTTCGGGTTGCTTTCTTTCTTACATTTTTGCTCTTTTCAAGTAGAATAGAATGTCAAAAATTGAAAAACAAATGGCTTTTCAAGCTATTCAAACACATAATTAAAACCTCTTCTTTAATACTTGTGTGATACTACTTAGTAACACTTTCTTCGTTAAAACTTCGAAATAAAATTTGGCTAGTATTATATACCATAGTAATTTTTTTAAAAATATATAAAAACGTTTACAATTTGTCATCCACGTGTTGCGGCTTAGGCATCCTGTATCCTTCTTGAAGTAAGCTAGCAATTTTCCTGCCATCCATTCGCGGATACGGAGAACCACCTGAAATATAGAATAGCTTTGGTTTTTCATCAGGAAAGCACATATTCTTTTCCAACTCATGTTAAGTGCTCTTTCCTCTGCAGAAGCTCCCGGTGGGTATCCAAATAAAAATAGCAGCAATCTAATGTCCTTTTCCCTCTCCCCAGCCTCCCTACGACTCAAAGAGGCCACTGTTGAGGAGAGAGCTTTAAAGTGCACTAGGCTCCAACGAGGTGTTGACAATGGGCTTCAACAAGATCGTAAATTATTACAATAGTTAACTTACCGACAGTAAATATCTCATATAGAACGACGCCATAGCTCCAGCTGCAATGAAATGATAGAGTGGATGTACGAACCAAAATACAAAAAGGTAATTAAAGAGGCAAACAATAACCAAATGATCCCAAACACCATAAACTTTATTGCAGGCAATTTGTATTTACTGTGAGGGTGTGTTCGACCAACTCGCTCGCTACACGATAAGGTACAAGGAATCTGATTTACATCTTGGCCTTTATTCGTCTTTGACTTCCGCTAACAATCTTAATCTTAATCAATCTTAATCTTAATCTTAATCTTAATCTTCTTAATCTTGTGACTTTTCTACTTTTCTACTCTTCTCTACTTACTAGTTCAAGTATAGTAGGGTTTTTATAGCCAAAGTTGGACATCCTTGAGTTAGCTGACCGAGAGACCTTCAGTATTGAATATCTTATCGTTAACATTGCAACAGGTTTGCTATTGTTAGGGAATAGATTAGCCTACGCACAGTCGCAACTGACAAGTACCAAAGAACCAAGGTCAGCTCTAACACCACAAATACGACTTACTGTAAAAAACTAGCATCTAACAATGCCAAGCGAATAACACTCCTAATATGGCAATATAAAGTAAATTCGCGAGCTAAGCATAAATTCAAGTACAAGTACAAACAAAAGATCAAAACAGGAAAACAGTACGTGGACAAAAACAAGACAATGAAACAAAACCTAAACTTAAAAGATAAGGTAGATCCGTCGTAAAAATAACTTTCAAAATACTTCACAAAATTACTCACACGTCACTGTTGGTGGTATAAGTGTTAAACATCAACGCTTCATATGCAGTCCATTTGACTGGAAGACGACCCTAATGGGTATACAACGAAACATAGGCCGAGTAAAAAAAACATTTTTCAACCATATCTGATGATTTTTACTTAGCGGGGAGTAGTTGAAAAAGCCTCAAAACTTCGTGTCAGCAGCTACGGTGCATCAGTGCGGCCATAAAATGACTACAGTGAAACTGGTTGAGGGCACATAATTAAAGCTGAATTAAAACGGATGGAAATATATTATATGGAGAAATAAAATCAATTAAATTCAAAACAATTTTCAGTCATTTTATACAATTGCAGTTCAATTACTTGTTTTTCCATACCTTTGTCTTTCTTTCATAAATGTTCTCTTGCTGGACATGCCTGGCCATTCCAAAGTCAGTCACTTTACACGTTTCTCTTTCCCCAACCAACACGTTACGAGCTGCAAGATCTCGGTGAATGATCTGCAAAAACATTTGACCAACATATTAAATTAGCGGGAGTGTTAAAGTCAGAGCAAAATCCTTCCTTTTGGCCGATCTTTTTATTTCGCCGTATATCGATTACTCGTCATTCTTTCACTAGTATATCAATTAATCTATACATGTATATAGCAGTCCAGACCTTTTCCACTTTTGAAAATGTTTTGATCGCGAAACAAAACAAGCAATTACCCAATCACGGTGCAAATTTGGAGTCACATGACGCGAGGCTTCCTTTCATTAACTTTCTGTATGGCAGTCAATACAAGAGTTAAGAGTAGTTAAGCATACGCTATGGAAAAAAATCAGATATGATAACAAGTTATGAACCCTTTCATTACTCGCTGGGATGAACCGTTTGCAGGAAAAGAGAAACTTGCCTTTACTATCTGTTTGCATGGACTATAAAACAGCAATAGAGCGGGCCGATCCCCGGAGCTTCTATCCGTACTGTCCACGCGGAGGCTTATCTCACCCTGGCCTCGGTAGCAAGAAAGGAAATCATGGTTCAGTTTAGGAAAGCGAACTAACTTTGTCTAATCATATTTTTTACTCTGGTCGGGATAAACTGTTTGCAGAAAGAGTAATATAATTTTGACATCGTTTAGGGATGATTTTTCTATTGTTTTAGACCTTGATGGTCACTGGTGGTAGCCAAATGAGCAGAACTACCCTATTGAATGAAGATGGAGAGTGACATTATTCACCTTGTCACTAAACCTTGTCCAGGTCTCAAGCAAAGTCGACCTAATGTGAGTACCCATTCACCACTCACCAGAATTACCACTTCGCCGCCTTTTGAATTGAAGTGACCTCTTACAACTAGAGCAAAGTTCTGGTGGGTACTAATACATCCTTGTCATTAGTGAGTACCTCACTAGATTTACACAAGCCTACCCAACTAACAAGTCAAGCTCAACTGCTCCCTATCGCCTGTGACAAAGACTAATTATTCTACGATCTGGTTTGCCGTCGAAAATCCTTCATGATCAAGGTCGAGAGTCGGAGAATATACTTTTCCAGAGATTACATAGACTAAGTACTAGATTTACCTGTCTTCGTGATATTAGTATCATACCATCCTCAAGGGTAAAAAAGTGGAACGATTGAATAGGACTTTGTTGTCCGTGCTCAAGACTCTCCCAGAGGACAAGAAAGAAAGATGGAAAGTCTTGTTAAACAAAGTTGTGCATGCTTATAATTGTACGAGAAACAATGAGACTTGGTTCTCGCCTTTCTATTTGCTGTTTGGTCGGTCACCTCGTCTACCATTTAACCTGGATGTCTTGTCACCACGTGATGAACCTGGTGTAACCCATCGGGGTTATGCAAAAAAGTGGCAGATTGCTATGAAGGAGGCTTTTTCACAAGCCGCGAAAAATATTCTTAAATAGATAGTCTTCGGAAAGAAGCAGTATGAACGTAAGCTGAGCTTTTCAGGCTTACAGCATGCAGATCGAGTCCTGGTGCGTTGCTTATCTGAGCAAGGTGGAAAAGGAAAATTCAGGTCTTACTGGAAGCAGCAGATGCATGTTGCGGGTGGCCAGACAGGGAAACCTCCAGTAATTCGAGGTCAGGCCTGAAGGACAGACTGGTAAGCCTAGATTATTGCACATAAGTCTACTCCTTCCATTTGACTTCCTTCAAGTTGACCACCCAGACCCTTCCGCTAACCAGTCTCAAGGAAAAGTGCCTTCCAGTTTCCCCAAGAAAGTTCGAGAAAGATTGCAGAGGGATAAATTCGGCATGCGTGACTCAGTAGATGAGGATGACTCGTCTGGTTTGTCCCTTACAGAGTTTGAGACATTGCAGCTGTGTTCACCTACAGGAGACACTGTACGTCGTCGGAAAGAAAGGCAGAGGTTACGAATGAAACTATGACAGAGCACGTAGCGACCCCTCATGGCTACTCATGGAAATGCCAATAAATGTTGGTTGTGCTACCTTGCTCTGAAGCTGAAGACGAACTTGTTCCTGGGGCAGGAGACAGAACAAAACCATTGCCACCCAATCCTCACCCGAGAGCCACCGAATGTGTTGTTGTGATCAGCTGGGAAATCCTAGTTACCACTCTTGCAGTGCATCAAGTATTCAAATAGCAACAGCAAATAGTGTTCCTGGCCAAATCATGTACTGTCCGCCTTGTCCACCGTGGGTGATTGCAACGCCCTATTATTATGGATCGCCAAACCTGCAGTGAGGTCCCTCCCAATACGGCCCGTTCATTCACGTGCTGTGGCGGGGTACCCCCATACTTGTTTCAGTAGATGCCTGTTCCAGCTTGCTGAGGATAACACTTAGGCAGTTGTTAAAAAAAAAAAAAAAACTTGTTCAGTCATCAATTGGCATGCAATTGAGAAGAGAATTCCGTTTATTATCACTTGAACATTGGCTCTATCGGATGAGGACACGCATGGAACTTTCTAAGTAGCCTGATCACCCTACGAGAATAGTTATTATAGAAAAATCAAACTTAACTTATCCTGTAAAGTGTCGTTTCTTTAAAGATAGCCCGAGCCTTTTGTTCGATGTCCAGGAGGACAGGGAGAATGCAAGAAAGTACTTAACCCACCCCCACAGTTGTACAAATGTTTTTGATGCACGTGATATTATTGCACCATAAAAATAGGTTGTACGTCACGAGCCAGGAAGGAAAAATCAAAACAGCTGAACGAGACTTTTTGTGTCTTTCTTTCTGTTCTCCTAAAGAAGCTGGCCTTTACACTAAACCTCGTGGCATGTGTACCGGAACATGACCAGAAGAGTGGCCCATCTACACGTTTCACATGAAACAACAATAATGTTAGACCCGAAAAAAATTTTCACAAGAGATATTTCAAAGTGAAGATGACTCATCGATCGTAATAACAAGCAAAATTGACACGAAAGAAAATAAAATCTCCCTTTCTAAAACATTTCAAATCCAATGTTCGTCATCTTATGCACACGTCTTCTACCATTTTGTTTTTCGCTGCAGTGTTACTAAAAGGCGAGCAAAGACTACTAAAAAAAGCAAAACACAACAGATTTCCACGCCAATTTGAATCGGCTCGAGGACTTTTTTAACCCGCCATACTGAGACGTCACACTATTGCTTCGCACATTTCTAAAAGTGGAAAAGCTCTGGACTGTATAGTGCTGTAAGTATTATAGTCGGTTTGGTTTAGTTCTTATTTACGCAGAAATCATTGGCGTGAATGACGTCATGGAAAAGTATCCCATTGCTGCTGACCATCAAATCGTAACAGTATTCACCTGTTGCCGGTGGTATAAAATTATTTTTATTTCAAAACAATACTCTACGTTGTGTAATAATATCGCAATAAAACAAGAATTACATACAAATCTTGATGACAGGTAACTCATTCCATCAGCAATTTGCCAAGCAAATTTAATAAGTTGCTGTGACGTCAAACTTGTTTGCGGTTTGATATCCGGGTCTTTGAAATAAGTATCATTAAGTCCACGGCTCTTTCTCAGGTATCCCAGGAGATCTCCAAACGGGACATACTCGATCAAAATCAATAAGGGGTCTGGAATAATAGTTTGACTGTGCAATTATTATTTAGCTCAAAGGCTTTGTTTTTTTTATACATGTGTAATACTACCCATCTTTTAGAATCTGGATAGTTTAAATTGGGATTCATTTGGGGGTAACCTGAGATCAGGCTCTATTTTCGTTTCGCTTTGAAAATTACATTCCGGCGGGCAAGGCGAAACGAAAAGAGAGCCTGATACAAACCTTCTACGAAACGTCTGCCGTCCACTTTTTTGATTTATTAACATTTACCGAACCAGCCAATCAGAATTACTTCCGTTGCTTGTTTTTCTAGTATGCAAATTTTTCACGCGTGAGAAAAATGCAGACTGGCTGACTTAAAAAGTAGCTTTTATCTGTTAATTATAAAACAGTCAGCACAATCACAGTACATCTAACTTCTTGCGAGATTAAGGGAGATCTCGAAGGTTATTTATGTCGGCGTAGAAGGTAAAAGGTTTTCGAAAAGACGATGACACGATGTTCTACTAGTTTTATTATTTTGGCTAGGCGCACTCGAATTTAGAATACTGAAATTTCTATTTTTCTGTTGCCTTAATATTTTCCTCGGCAATTTTCCCCGATTTTCAGTACATAAATCTTTAAAAACAAAAGCAAACAGCCAGCGAGCGAAGACACTTTTCCTGGTTTATTTTTTACAGAAAAAGCGAAGGCAAACAACCAGCTGTCTGTTACCTTAAGCCACCAGCTTTTATAATAATGCCAAAACTGAAAATTCCTTGAACAGCGATGCGATATTTATCGTCAAATACTTCACAGTTGGCGATTGAGGTTTCTTTCACAGTGAGCCTCCGCTTGCGTACCCCGCGCGTTCAGAGAAGTCATTCCCCGCTAAACTTTCAAATGAAACCAGTTTAAAGATGGACAGTATTTTGATTTGCATTTTTGTATATTGATTTTGATTGTTGGTAAATCAAAAGGCACCTTGTTCGCGGTCAACAACTTGCAGAGGGATTCAACTCCGCGATACACGCACATTAGTTCCGTAAATAAAGCAAATCCTGAGAAGATATGAACAACCACATGAATTTTCTGAATTTCCAAACACATATTAAGGCATATTTTCCTACCATGAGACCATAAAACAATAAAAAAGACAGTAAAATCGATCCTTCTCTCCGGGCCTTCTCTCCGCCGACGACGGATCATTCACGAAAACAACCACGCGAGGAATAAACGCTTTCAACTTCAGGCGTTTTCGACAGCCAATCAGATCTTGCGGCATTGTTCTAACAGCCAATCAGCGTTACAGCCAAAATCTGGCCGTAACGAGCACAAACGTGAGAGAGTTTGTATCAGGCCCAGTTTTAGCGGTAGCCGTTAGGGAGAATATATGAGAACCGCTAAAGTTGGGCCTGATCTCAGGTTAATTTGGGGGAAAAGTACAATGCAAATGGGTAGAAATAGGTACAATAATAAAATGAACTGTTCTCATATCCTTTATTAGTTAACAGGCTGTGTCCCAATCCATCGCTATGAATACATGGAGCGAGCGATCCGAAATTAAAGAAATACAGTCAGCTTATCTTATTAGCCCTTGAATCTCCCTTTTTCGGCGTTAAACAGGGTCAGCCAAATTGGCAGCCCATTTCCGTTTTCCCACATTTTTTCACGTCCTCGGTAAGAGAATGATTGCTATGATGATTCTAACAACCCTTTTCGAATTAGAGGAAACACCTCTCTTATCCGTGACCACTACTTTGTCTGGGCGACATTCAAGCTCCAGTACGTACCTTGCATTCTTTAAAGTGTTTTAAAGCTAAACCACTTTTACCCACATTCCTTTTATCCGCCCATTTATAAACTGACAGGACCTGTTATGTTTACGAACAAATATGCTTATCATTTCAGTCGAAGATCAGCTTTTTTACCAGTTTCGGTTACACATCCCAGTAGTCGTATGACATGTGGATGAGGTTTCAACGTCTTCAGAACATCGAGTTCAGATAAAAGATCCTTTCTGTCAGACTCAGGAGGAGAAGCTAAAAATAAACGAACAAATCATAACAATACAAGCCTTAATACTCTTTGAGAACATCACTTCATCATATTTATAGGTTACGTTTTTGAATAATGTTCTCCTCTTTAATATTTTTGTGAAAAATCTCGTAGGAAAACTCACTTTTCTTTTTTTACTTCCCTTTTGTTATTAATGACTTATGTCAATATAAGGAATTGCAGACTGTTTAACCCCACATTAATCCCCCCAAACATAGATACATTTCCATCCACAGACGTTACTTTTGGATTACCTTTAAGCATTTTAACCGCTACTGCAGACTTTCCTGGTCTCTCTCGAAGATCTATGGCCGTTCCCTTGGCGACCTGACCAAAGGCACCTTTACCGATAACCTTTTCTATGGTAACACTGTTTCGTGGAATTTCCCAAGTGCGTGTTGATGGATGAAGAGGTGCGTAATCAGGTCCCTGAGATGCACGTTCCACTTGTGCGGTGCCTGATGTGACTTCTTTGTGCGTGCTCCCAAATGCAGGTACCTCTTTTAGGTCCATGTATTCAGTCTTATGTTGATGTGAGTGAGATGACTGGACCTTATCCATTGCTATCTCATTCTGAAAGTTTTAAAACAATATTATAAGTCATTGTTCTGATAAAACACGTCCCCAAGCACAAAAAAAAATCATAATATTGCACGCCCGGAGACACCTATTTCATGAACTTTTCTGGATGCTAAGGCACAGTTCGCTGAAATTTACCAAAATGGTCTACCACTCTGTTATCCACTTGATTCAAACTTCATTTTTTTTTTTGCTATTGACTGGAGGATAAACCAGGGCTAGAAGAAAACAAAATAAAATTAAACACGAAACTTACGTCATAAACCTCTGCATCATTGCGTGGCAACGTATATGGTCTGAGAATAAACAAAGAAGAAAGAAAACCAATATGAATCTCATATTGGCTTTTTTTTTACTGTTCAGATGTATTATTTGGTCGATCTTCTGTTGCAAAGGTATTTCAAAATGAATGAATTGTACACACAATGCAAAGCTATTATTTTCTATGCCGTGTTACTTCCCTAATGCGTGGCAACATTACGTCACTGCCCACACAGTTACCCTTTTTCTTGACTAGTTTCTTGTTCATTCATATCATGCTATGCTCACACTGCGCTCTACCACTTGGTGAAATTAATTTGAAATAAACTGTGTTAGATTCTCTACAAACTCTTGTAAAGGACAAAGTTATATTAGTAAAAGGAAAATGATTGTGCGCGCGGCATTAATAGACTCGCAATCTCGGGAAAAAGAAAAAAGGATAGTTTTCTTTATGGGTAATCAGCACGTACTTATGCCTATAAGAAGCAGTTTTGGCTCACATCTAAAATACTGGACCATACTTTACAGTAATACCTTTTCTTTCCTCTCAATCCTGTGGAAGAAGAAAACCACATTTTGATTAACGATTTATTTATTTGTTTATTTACTTATTTATTTATATGTTTAATTATTTATTACCTGAGAAGGGGTAACTCCTCAGCTTACTATTCTGAGTTGTTTTGATGTTTTTGGATGAATAAGTTATAATAAGTTAAGCGCTCTTTCTATTTCTCATTAAGTTCCAAAATCATAAAAAATCAAGAGCGAGTGAAAAGGGTAAATTTTGTCACCTCTCTTGTGCTGCCAAACTATCACAACTACAAGAAGGATGTTAATGAAAATGAGAACTCCAGTCACTGCTTTCCAGATGACCTCATTACACTGACAGCGTTCAGTATCTGTAAAGAGAACCAGGGGGGAAAAGTTAAACTTAAGTCAACCAGCATGTATTGGCGGAAGGGTATTACCTCTGCTGTTTAAAAGTATCAACCGCTATAAATTATACACCTTCTGAAAAACGTACGTTAGTTGTTACCCTTAACGTTTGTGTTCCTAGCAATTCAGGACGCTGACATCACAGGCCCCATCTCTGAGAATGCATGTTTCTCTATGTCGGGATTCACCTCGCAACACCACGGACGTTTCCATGATGATGCTTTTTCTTTTGCTCCTTCTTTTCTTGTTTAATAATCATTTTTTTATTTTCTTGACTTGCTAAATTTCATCGACCAGTAAGTGGAAACATTGGCAAGTCTGAGATCATCTTTTCTTTGTCCCTCGTTGATTCCACCCTCCCCAGTCCGATCTACTCTGATGAGAAGGCAAGAGAAGGACGAGTCTTTTTTAACACTACTAAGGAACCCCTAAGACAAAAACTTGCGAAGACAATTAAAACCACATTGATAAGGTGTGTTTGTTTTCTTTTGAAGTGAATCACGTTTATTCCAACGCGATCTTTTCAAAAATTTGGGAGGACCTTCCTGTATTTGAAATTTTAAATCAAAGCTCAGAATAACACAGGGAAATTTTCGTTGTGTTTTCACGTGGTCAATAAGATGGCTCTTGGCGTTCTTGTTGTCATCGGCGTCGTGATTGCAAAATTAAAGTCTTTTTTAACAGTGAGATTACCTTTCTGGCTCGAGATACAAACGGCACTGGTTGATAGCTCAGTTGATGCGGCTGTTGTAGGATTAACATTGCAAAGTACGTTCTTTTATTATTAACCACAGAAACTTCTTACATGTACAAACATTTTACTTACTCGGCGGGTTAGTTGGTAATGCTGTTGCCGTTTCTCTTTCTACAAAAGAACAGGTGTATGTTAGTTTAATTCATGGAGTCAGAGTTAGTTCAAATAATCTTACAATATTGTTCTTATTTAAAATCATAAAATCGTATTTATGTAACACTTTGGCATTCCCAAAAAACACTTACATTGAGAAATGAATTACAATGCCTATGCACAAACGTAAGTGGCTGACAGATGTGTATCATATAATTATGGGAAAAACGAGGTCAATTCAAAGTGGTGAGCGCAGCAAATATAAAACAGATTTATGTAACAAAACTATGCCAACGAAGGCAAAAAGATATATGTTTAACTAATTAAAAAAAACAAGTATAATACAAATTGTAACCACATTTCACAGACTACTTTGATATATATGTCCAGAAATGCGTGCGCACGTTGATAAATATGGCGAACATTCGCCTGGGTAATAATAATAATAATAATAATTATTATTATTATTATAAAAGTAAATTCTAATAATCATAAAATTATCCCAGAATCCTTTGACACAATTTTTAAAAAAGCTTTATAACTTTCTCCATGGAATTTAACGAAAGTGAAAGTAGAACATGCAGGTTTTTACGGCAAAGTGCAGGAAAGGTTTCTGACGTCACTTACTCGCTTTCAGCTGTTTCATCCAAGGTGAACTTAAGAACCTTTTACAGTTTTTGTCTTCTTTCTTTTTTGGTTTGTGTGTGGTGGAGGTGGGTTTAGGTTCAGTGATGCAAACTTTTGGGTGACAATTCTCTTGCGGGACTCTTACTGATTACTGCGTGAACGAATTTGGTTTATAACTTCCTGTCTTTGTTTTAAAATCAGTTAAATAGAGTTTTTTGGTTTCAAGTCATAATATAAAGGGACGCTTCGCTTCTTAGACTTGCCTAAATCTATATACTTCTACTTTCGCTAAGTTCTCAATTTCTCGTCAAAATCGCTACTCTCTAATGCGCCACTTTTGACATCCGATTTGAATATTTGAAAAACCCATGGCAAATTTTTGCAAGTTGCGCCATTTTTTTCCAAATCTGCTTCTTTACAAGGAGCGCCTTTTGCCATCACATTTAAATTTTATTCACTCCTCTGACGATTTGCCATTTTCTCTATTGCGTACATTAAGTTTCTGGACATAAGTGACAAGTTTAGTCATCGTTAGCAGCTGAAAAAGATTCGATTGGCCAGTTGTTCCCATGACAGCTTTCTTTAATTTAAGACTGGGAATTGTGAAAAAGGTCTCGCAAAACAAGGCTATCCTACTCCTTGCAATGTGCTTTTAGCTCATCAAGTAACAAATCCCCTTCAACGGAAGGGCGTCGTGACTAGCAAAACGAGCATCTACGACAGCACTAAGGCTAGCAGAGCAAAGAGTTGACTTAAAAAAAATAACATTAGAACTAGAAATACGTACAGTACTGTGCAAAAGAAATGCAAACGGAATTTGCACAGTACTGTAAATCGCGGGACCTCGCGAAAGACTTCGGGGGAACGGCAAGTAAAGCCGAGAAAAAAAATGTAAATCTAAGAATTGTAAGCTATAGAAACATAACAAAACTGTTATACCTAAAATGAAAACTAAAGGAAAAGAAGCAGAAAAAAAAAGACGAAAAGAAGAGAAAAGAAGCGAAGAGAAAAAGGTTATTTCCGGAATCGAACTCAGGACCTCCGACACGCAAGCCAAAGCTTTACCACTAGGCCACGTGGAACACACACTTAGAATCGTCGAAATTTTATTATTAAAACCTTCGACCCTTATTAAACGTGAATTCAAAGATATTTTTCAGAAGAATGACTGCAGTTTCGACAGTGAAAACCCAACGAAGATGCATTTCATTGCATTTACATGTAAAGAATGGAAGCCCAACAGCCTAGGCCAGTACGGTATAAACTCGTCTACGATGTTCGCTCACATGTTAAGGCTGCTAAATTATCCAAAATCGTTTCCATTTGCTCTTAAAGTACTTTAGATTTCAAAATTCATTGAGAGATGTTCCCTCTGCTTCGCTGTTTGTTGATGCCGTCTCTGCTTGGGCCGTTGGTCGGCGTTCTCGCTCCAGAGGATTTTTTGGTGTCAAATCTTCCCCTGCGAGGATGAACAATTCGGCGTTCTTGTGTTTGCTGTTCTGTTGCATGAGAAATGGCTTGAGTTTCACCGATAGTTAACATTGATTTGCAGACGATGAAAAGACAGCTACTCATGAATACTTTGGTCATTGATGGAATTCGAAATCGCTTTCAGTCGAATGTTGCCTAGAAACAAAAATGCGCCGCGACGTCAAACTACTATATGACGTCATGGTGGACACCATCAGATACATACAAGTAAAGATGAGAGCTGCGAGTTTGCAGCTCGCTAGGACCCACACGTGGTTCACCCACTGCGCGTGGGCGTCGCGCGCGACGAGGTTATAAACTCAGTTCAATAGCAATATTGTTGCCCGAAAAAACTAAAAAAAGAACCCAACAGAACTTACCAACAATCAATTGAAAACTGGCGTTGACTGGTTTAAAAGGATTTAAAAAATTCGCTGCAAAACAGCTATACCATCCAGCATCATTAGATTCAGCTTGAAATGTCCAGTCTCTTCCTTGATGCTGTAACTTACAAGTTGTGTCATTTCCTTTGTACCAAGTGATAGCTGGCTCAGGTCTGCCATCAACAGGACAAGAAAAAATAACCTGGGTTCCTTCAGCTGCACGAACGATCTCTGAGTAGGGGCCTTTTGTGGGGGGATCTACAAAGACAAAACAAATAATCATAATAAAAATGTTACTACTACTACTACTACTGCTAGTGCTACTGCTACTATTATTATTATTATTATTATTATTATTATTATTATTATTATGTCGCAGTATGAAACTTTGGAATGCTGTCCACAATATGAGTAGTATAGGGCGCATAGCGTGACCTACACCACTTGAGAAGCTATACTTAGAAGTAAAAAAAGGTCGGTACGAAACCTATTACGATCCGAATATACATAATGATATGAATCTCTCTACTTAAAAAGCCAATTTAAAATATTATTAAATTCTGATACTCTGTGAAACCTACGTTAAGACGTAATGATATGATTATCTCTAATAGAGGCCTATTTAGAAAATTATTCCGTTTTTACACTCTCATTATCTCTTATATACCTAAACGAGGCTATCATAATGTGATTATCTATACTAAAAGCTTATTTAGAATAATATCAAACTCTAATGTTCTAAAAAATCTACGTTAAAAACATCAGCAAGCTTGTGTTTCTAGATTTCTAGAGATAAAACAAAAACCTAAAAACTGGAGTCCTTAGCGCCCTAACTAAGTATTTATCTTAAATGTTCTGGTAATGTTTAAAGTGTTTGAGATGACCGACTTCTGCATCCGCTCAAGTACGCTCCGTGCTCTCGCTCCAAGTAGCTTCCTCACCGACTTCTCTGGGTGTTTAGAGTAACCACCCAGTACGTCAATTATTACGTTGTACTGTTCAACCCTGTAACCACTGTATCTCTGCTTCAGCTCCCACATCATGGGCCCATACTTGAGTGTTTTTTCCACATCTTTCTTAGCTCTACTCTCAATCCATGGGCAGCTCATTTCAATTGTGCAGACTTCTTTCCTCTCGTGGCTGACAAGTCGCGCGTCGATCCGATTTGCTCTAACTTCGTTGTGCTCTGCATAGATGGGAATATCCCAAAACGCCTCACTCGTGGTGTTCTGGTAGGCTGGTTTTGGCATCACCGGTGAGTACCATGGTGGAACCTCTTCTATTAACCCATGTTCTCGCAGGAGCTCAAAAAAAAGAATCTTCAAAGCTCCATTATGCCTGTATAGGTACTTGGTTTGTGCCAGGGAGGAACATCCAGCCAATACATGTGCAACGCTCTCAGCTACCTTCCCACATAACCTGCATAGGACTTCGCCGTCGGTGAAGGTTTGCTTCTTCTCCTTTGTGTAGAGCTTCGTAGGTAACAACTGCTCATACAGTTTATACATGTCCGCGATGGTATATGTAGGACATGTAGCCCAACCTTTTAACCATGCAAAGCAGCTGGTTATGCTTAGGCTCTCATCTTCCCATCTGATACGGAATAACTTTCCTTGCCACTTTTTGTCTTTAGCGATCTCCAAGAACTGCTTCTCTTGAGATTGCTTCAACAGGTTCCCAGCTCTTGCTGCAGTTACCACCTTTCCTTCTGTTGTAACAAACACGGGATTTAGGGTATCAAGCTGAAGTGTGATGTTGAGTTCTTCAGCGTACTTAGCTGCTTCCTTTACGAGCGACTGGTGGCCTGATGCCATGGCGGGTTCTTCAAATTCTCTACCTGCTTCCACAGTCTGGTCCGAGTTCTGGTACGATTTCAGTAGCGATTTGATTTTGGTGATCTTGTACTCGTGTTCGACTGATCGCAGGCCTCTACCCCCTTTCTCCCTCTGTAGATATAACAAAGAAGTTAGGCTAGCTGTGCCTGCCACCGTTCTCAACTATGATCTTCCGAGCTGCTCTGTCCACATACTCTGATAGAGGCCAATGCTGTGTCCACATTAAGTACCGCAGGACCGGGAGTGCATCCTGATTAGTTGCCTGCACACGGTTACAGTCAGACAGGGGGCTGGACCATATAATAGATATCCTGCGTAGATACTCTTTAGCCGCACACGCAAAGGCCAGCCGTTATTATTATTATTATTATTATTATTATTATTATTATTATTATTATTATTATTATTATCCTCGTTATTATTACAAGTGGTACCGGTAAAGGTAAATTATGATTATTTTACACTGTATAAAGCTTCGAGTTTAAACCTTAAAATAATTTGATAAAAAAGGGTTAGCTTTTTCGTCTTTCTTCGGAGCCGCAAAAAATACGACGAATTCACGTTTTGAGGTCGTTCGTCAGTAGTGAGAAGTGATGCCACAGGGGCACCCAACGACAATTTTCGGAAAAATATCTGTTCGGAAGAAGATTTGAGATCTAGAATTTTCGGAACATTTGTTGTAAAATTTCTTGCTTGCCTGCCTCTCCTAGGATTTTCGAACATCTAAGAAATGGTAAAATTGCCCATATTCAACGGATTTTTACCCTTAAAAGGTCACCTAGAATTTTCGGGAGCCTTTTTTCTGGCTGAAATTTTCGAACAGGAAAGTTTTGATCCCCATAATTTTCGGATCACTAGACTTTCAGCTAGGAAATCGGAACAGATGAAAAATTTATAGGGGATAAAAATATGCCCATATCCACCGTTTAAATACTAAAATACCTTTAACAATGCTATGTTTAAGTGGTTTTGAACTATATTCTCGTTGGGTGCCCCTGATGCCATTTGCTTTTATTGAAATGAGTGGATTAAAATTGATTGCTGTTTTTGATATACAAATCATGTCCCGCGGTGACATACAAATCTTATCAAAGAGAAAGTAAGATCAGTTATTACAGCTGATTCTTAAGTCGTAGCACAAGCCGATCAATATAATGGATTTACAAAGAGATAGGAATTGCTCTCACTGAAAAGGAAAAAAAACATCTTAATAAAAGACCGCAAACCACTAAGCTGAAACTTATGTCATATTAGGCCCCTTTCAAACGTAGAATTTAACACCTATTTTAGTCGATGAAAATATAGAGAATACTTCATGGAAAGTGCTGGCGTACGGTATTTACGCACGAGTTGTTGACGTATCAGAAATCGAACGAGTGAGCGCAGCGAACGAGTAAGATTTCTGATACAAAAACAACGAGTGCGTAAATACCGTACAAAGCACTTTCCATGTGGTATTGTGTTTATTATATACATACTGAGTCATTCATCATTTTGCGGGCCTTTTTATTTTAAATCTTTCAAAAATGCTAAAATTTGCCGCTACACACTTACCGCAAAATGACAACGAAAACGAAGTATCAGCTTTTTAGTAAAAACGTTTGTTAAAAACATAAATGACGGTGAGGATATGAGGTTTAATCCAAGAACTATAAGTAATCTTAACTGTTTGTTCTCAATGCACAATTGAATATGAGTGAATTTAAGTAAAATGGCCGGTTTCAATATAAGCTTAAGCTTAAATGAAAGGCAAAGTAGCTCCGACAAAAAGCACAACAAAAGCTTACGTCTCGTTCTGTTTATCCCTTTCCGCTGTTGTTTCACCGGCTCTCTACCGTATTTTTTTATCGACAGTGAAACAAACGAAACTATTCCACTCAATTTCCGAAATGTTTTTCACTTTTTTAGCGAGAAAAACTCCTTGAGTAAAACTTTTCTCGTTGATAAATGTGTGCGAAGCGGCGCTGCAAGCTGCAATAAAAGGCGGGAATTTTGGCGCGAAACTCCTACACCTCTGTGGCTTCTGATTGGACGTATCATTTTTCTCACACGTGAAAAAACATCGTTCGCGATTCTGATTGGACGTATCGTTTTTTTCACGAGTGAAAACCATCGTTCGCTCCTCTGATTGGCTATAACTAATTTGCGTACGAAAATTTACGACATAGCTTTTTGGTGAGTATTTCTCAGTATGTATATAATAAAATTAAATACGACAGTTGATTCAGACGTCGGATATAATGATGCCGAATTTAACTCCGTTTGTTGTAAATATTCCCAGTCTCTAGAAAAAAAAGTTATCCAATATGGATAAGGGATTATAAAATTAATGCATTACATATATTCGGCACATGTGAAATGTTGAACTTAACTCGAATTCTCAACGGTTTCAGTCGCAAATTCGGCAAAGTCGTATTTAATGTGAAACTGTCGAATTTAGTTGATTCAGACGTCGCACCTCAAAGCAGTTATCTCTCAAATTAAATTAGGCACATGTGTAACTCTACAATTGAGCTGGGTAATGATAACAGTGTCGGCAGTATTACTAAAAATGCAGGTAAATACGCTATGATACATATGGAATTTTACTAATAATAATTTTGTAAAATTTATTCATTTTGAAATACCTTTGCAACAGAAGATCGACCAAATAATACATCTGAACAGTAAAAAAAAGCCAATATGAGATTCATATTGGTTTTCTTTCTTCTTTGCTTATTCTCAGACCATATGCGTTGCCACGCAATGATGCAGAGGTTTATGACGTAAGTTTCATGTTTTACTTTATTTTGTTTTCATCTAGCCCTGGTTTATCCTCCAGTCGATAGAGAAAAAGACTGAAGTTTGAATTAAGTGGATAACAGAGTGATAGACTATTTTGGTAAATTTGAGTGAACTGTGCCCTAGCATCCAGAAAGGATAATGAGATAGGTGTCTCCAGGCATGCAATATTATTTTTTTTTGTGCTTTGGGAACGTGTTTTATTAGTTACTAGCTATTTGCACCACAGAGGTTGAAAAGAGAGTAAAACGGTAAAAAAAATTAGATTACGAAAAATTTGCTTACGGGGAATTCGAACCCAGACCCTCCGAATCAGTTAGAACAAAACTGATTAACACCTCAGTCCACTGGGTTTAAAAGAGGCATATATTCCTCCTCTATGGTGATTGACAGCTTTCAAGGTGACTTTTTCGGCGTCCGTGTACAATTAAATCTTTAACTGATCGAAGCCAGACTTAAAGCTCACAATAAGGCCATTAATACTCTTGCAGGCTTGGTCTATGCCGGGGAGCGTTTAAGAAATTTATGAACTATCGATCGCGCGGTTACCGACTGAACAGTATGACCGTACGATTCTCTACCTGCTCGTAAGGTATCTTTTCATCGGTCGAGGAAAACATTAACACAACATTGTTTATCATTATTTCCATTGTTTTAGGTTAGGGTGGCAAACCACTTGGCTTTTAGGGTTAGAAGAACTGCTACATGATCTTTCTCCCCAGAATGAAGAAAAACAATATGGCCGCCAAATACATCCTTTTAGCTTTGAAAGTTCATCTTTATTAACCAACGCTTAACATTTATTTCGGCAAACAAACAGTTAAGAGTGAATGTCCACTAACGTCGAGCAAGGTGTGGCACATGATGAAAATCAAATTTTTTCATTTTTTGTTTAAAGATACCGTATGGTGGTCCGAGAAACGTGGTAGTGTTTTTTTATTGAAACGTTCTTTTGAACGCGAAAAATTGATAAAAGCCTGTTTCTGCCCCACGGTCGTGAAAATATGCGGAAAAAAAACGTGTTTAACTCCTTCTAGTAAACTTCGTCCTGTTTAATTTGCGTCAAAGGGAGACTCTCAGAAAAGGTCAAAAAAGATATTTTGAATGTTTGCAAGTTATTTGAGTACAGTTTTAAACCTGTGGATTTATTTTTAAGGTCGTGGTGATCATCTGAAATTCACCGAAATTCGTTGCCTAAAATACTAAATTTGATGCACTTTTTCAAAAGAAAGTTTCATTGCTCGGTAAAGCACCGAATCACTTGAAACTAAGAATTCTCAAGAGAGAAAATGAGGTACTAAAATGTGATGTAATTTTTTTCTCCGGGCTTTCTATCAGCGCCGTGTGCCAGCGCTCTAAAAAACTCGAAAATCACAAACTTATAACATGTCAACATCTGGAAACCGTAAACACACGCGCCGAACAAATCTCCGAAACTTGCAGATTTTGTATTGTTTCTCTCGTTTTTTCGATGAAAAACAAAGCAGATATAGGTCTTTCAGCTTAGTTTGAATAAGGAATATCAGAACACCCTGGCTCTGAACGAAACAGTGCTAGTGCTATATTTAAACGTAGAGTCTAAATTTACACCTACCCGATCTTATCTCTTGCTGACTCAGCTAATCAAATTCACACCATTGCTAAATGGAAACTAAAGTGCAAGCTTTTGGCTGCAGTAATTTATTTCTCAAGTGAGAAAAAGAAAAATATCTATGGAATATTTTCCATAGTCTACAAAGTCATGTCAGCAAATGAACTCCTGTCGAATTTTGACCAAATTTGTCCGTCACGCAAAGGATTTCCTAAAGTTCGCCTAAAAAGGTTTTGTCACGCGACTACCAAGGAAGGCTAAAAACAAAGCAAACCAAAACAAAACATCCACCGAAAGACTACGACTAAGTCTGAAAAAAAGTATTTTAACGCCCCGGTTTAAAGGTGGGCGGCACATATATGAGGCTTTTTTTTATACGAAAAGGGAGTACTCATATTAATTGTACTCGAGGAGACGCCTCAAAACAAACGGCGCAAAGTCACAGATAACATTCACTTCTCGTTGCATTTTGTTTATTTAAAACTATAGCAAAATGAGGCCAAACAAAACGACCCCTTTTTCTTTCTCGTGATACATGAAATATCAAAGCTTATTTTTTTCCTCCAATAATAGGTCTGACTCTCGTATAAAAACAAACGAACAGACAAAACGTTCTACAAATACAGACAATATCTGCAGAGCTGTACATGTAATCTAATAATCGCCAGTTGAACAAGCTGAGTACCAAACATTTCATGTTCAGAGTTCGTAGAGTTTGTTTTGCGGCTGTGAATGGAAGTTAGTTGTTGTTTTCAGAAACTAGTTGGAGGTGTTTGCGCCTCTGACAAACGATATGAAGGAGCAGTTGTTGTTCCGCTATCTTCATGTCAAAAAGATATTTTAGGTCACTCGCGCAGTGTTGGAGTTAGCGATATCAACTCTGAAGCTGAGCTTATTTTAGCGCGCGCATCAATATTTTCTCCTCCACGCGACATTTCGTCTTGGACCATTTGCCCATCCCATCGCTCTTCCCTGGGCATTGGCTGGCGCCGAGGTGCTCATCGATGCCGAGTACCGCCAGGGCTATCAAAGCATGCTTCTAGAGGAAAAACAATAAAGGCGGACCGTGGAATAAGCAAGTCGGAGTCCAGAGGTATTTTAAAACAGACAGGTGTTTTTGTTCCGGTAGGCTCTGGTAAGTACACTACTTTTCGTGCTTACTTCCCTGCATTTTAATTAGCCGGCGGATGTAATCAGGTTACCAGAAGGTAGTAGAAAAACCTTGCTAGCATTGCGAACAAAAGTGACCGGTGATTTGTTTCATTCCGTTGCAAAGGTATATGCCTTGACTGCAGGCCGATTATTGATGTTAAAGAAAAAACATTGGAACATGTGCCAAAAACTACTCTGAACGTCGCAGACATTAGCGAGGGCATCGGAAAAATTATCTTGGTAAGGTTGATCATTTTGATGACTTGCATAATTCTGGCCCTTAAAGCATTTATTAAATTAACTAATTAGGCGCCTTTTTGTTTCATTATGCTTTGTCGCTCTTTATAAGAGAAAGTCAAGTTTGCTCCACGCAATTAATTACTGTCAATAAAAATATGTCATAGGGATCCGTTTCATTAGGACTAATATCATCCACCTTGTCCCCTCCTAAAAAATAGGGAAAGCATTTGGAAACAAGATAGTAATATTACAGAAACACCGATGAGAATGTACTTTAAGACACTATTTTCGTTTATAGAACAAGGATTCCCCACCAGTGCACAGCACTCCCATTACACCAGGAGGGAGTTTTTATCTTCCCCCGTAGGAAGGCACATTCAGCGACGTCAGTTTCGACGATGCACAAGTCTCTCAGAATAGGCCTCTAGATGCTTTCAATACATATTTGGTTTCCAGAGATGTTAGTCCCGTTAGGTCTCAGCTACAAACTTCGTGGGAAAAGACAAGTGGACGGACAAAGCGCTACTATACACGGAAAGCTAGTCAAGGTGTGGCAGCTTTAGTACAAGATATGACACCACATGAAACAGGCCCCTTGTTCCGCGCACTGTGTTCTTCAGACGTGCTGCGCCGCCAGCTTTCTGATGAGGGCAACATGGACGTGACGCTAATGGAGGCACTTCCTGAATGTTACCAAGCTACTAGTCGCTGGGAGACGCGCCGCCAGATACTTTCCATCATGGCAGATAAGGTGCGTTACAAAACACTCCTCAAGTTTATCCCTGGTCTGACCAAATATCGCTTCACAGAAGCCAAACGCCACTGTTTGACCTATGGAAGAGGAGCGCCAGTACTGTCAGTAAGAGCACCTAGGACAGACGTTACCTTTTCACAGATAGAACATTTTATCGCATTCATAACAAGCTAGCAAATTGTGCAAGATCTGCCATTTGGAGAAAGGTCCATAACACTTAGCAGCAAAGAGACCATTAAGATCCCAAACGTTATCAGAATGATGATCCCTGAAAGGGTGGTAAAACAGTACCTGGCCTACTGCGACGAGTCTGGTTTTAAGCCTCTTAGCCGCAGTACTCTTTTGCGTATCCTCGATGTCTGTCCTGCCTCTACTCGAAAATCACTTCAAGGCCTAGACTACATAAGCTCAGCAGGTCCGCAGGCATTTGAAGACCTGATTGACATTGTAGAAAGAATAGGGAACGTTGGGCAAGGCATGGGATGAACCTGCAGACTCGCCTGCGAGACGGAAAGCGATACCTCAAAAGTGATTACAAGGTAGGTAAAATACCATCCCTTCACATTTTTGGCCTAAATCTTCATTTCATGTTAGTTTTCTTTGCAATGGGCGCCAGAAACTTTTCAAGCGCTGCTTATTGCGTCGGCTTTTGGCGGAAATGTGTCGGCCACCAAGGTAGATGGCGCTAGCGGGTAAGGGTAAGGTTTCTTACGCAGAATTACAGGATGTGATTGTTTTTTATCAGTTTTGTATCAGTCTGTTTGCGTCTTTTTCCGCTTCCAGTTAACATAGTAAAATCCAGTACAAACATCTTGAGGAAAGTCAGCTTCCGCAAGACAATGCTGGTTGCTATCACTGCGGGACCACCATTGTTTGTGCAAGTACGTTACAAGCAGAGCTAGGTGTAACCATCAAACGGCTTGATTTCTCCGATCCCCAGGGTGTAAAAGGAGCCTGTGACCGCAAGGCGGCATCCGTAAAATCGCATATGCATATTTACCTAAATTCAGGACACGATATCGAGACTCCAGAACAGATGACGGATGCAATTCGATCTTCCGGTGGGGTACCCTCACTAAGTGTCACCTTTTGTGACTCCATCACAAGCCCTTTAATGGACTCATACAAGATCGATGGAGTAAGCCTACTCTCGAATATAGGTTTTCTGAAGAGGGAATCCGTGTATGGAGAGCGTATGGCGTGGGAACCGGAAAGCTGATATCACAGATACCTGAGGCTCCGTTATCAAACAGGCTTCCGTCCTTGGTAGTACGCCAGGCGCACCCAAGCTCATTCTCATCGGGTGTAAAAAGACGAGCACATGGCGCGCATCCGAGTGGTATCCGCAGCACTGACGATAAGACCGAAACTGAAGAAGAGCACTCAGCATCGCGCGAGGCACTGTTCACGTGTCCTGAGGAAGGTTCTACACAGACATTCCTGAGGCACTCCTCCATGATGCAGCACTTGGATTGTGGAACACACAAGCGCGCTTTAGAGAACGAGACACTCTTCGACAAAGCTGCCCAACAATATGCAGAACAACTCGAGGGGCAAGCCATGGTGGTGCCAGTAGTCAGCACTGTCAGCACACAAGCAGGTCACACAGACAGCCAACCCATGGGCTGGGTACTCAAGCCACGTGCTACACGGAGGACTAGGCTCACGGCAGACCAAAAGTCGTATCTAACTACAAAGTTTAAGCTTGGAGAGCAGACCAGAAGTAAGGCAGATCCTGCAGCTGTTGCGAGATCAATGAGGCGTGCAAAGGATGCAACTGGAGATAGATTGTTTTCAATCGACGAGTTTCTTACAGCAACCCAAATAGCTTGCTTCTTCTCACGCATTGCTTCAAAGAAAACCCTCAAGAATGACGTTCAGGAAGGTGTAGAGGTCACCGCACATGAGGCCTGTCTAGAAGTCTTGTTAATGAGGCTGCGAGTGAGATTGCGCCTAAACATCCTATTGTCTATGACGCCTATAATCTTTGTGAAATGGTGTCCCAAAAGAAGCTGAATGAATTTTCCATTACAGTTTTAAAGGACATTTGCACTTCCCTTGGTATTGACACTGCAGGTATAACGGTTCGACGCAACAAGCCGTACATCGACAAAATTCAATCGCTTTGTCAGGAATGCGCATGTCAACAGTGAGGCGTTCTTGGAACATTCTACTGTCTTGTATTAAGATTTTGTAATTCATAAGCGAAAACTGAAAACGAGTTAGAAAGAGAAACGAGTTGTGTTGAGAAAAGATAAGCAACATGTACGAGAGGCAGCAAGTCTTTTATATCGTAGGTCTAGTTTTTGAGTTAAAAAGTTCAAAAATGTTCCGCCAAAGCCCCTTAGCGGATAAGAGACGCCGAAAAACTCTGCAACCCTCTAAGGTCTACTCTTTGGTGTATAGTAACTTCATTCCATAACTTTTTTATTCTTATTTATATCACTAAAAAATAATGGCGCACTTACATTTCACGTTCCTTATTAGTACAATGCAAGCCGAAAAGGCACATAGAAAGACATATTTGCACAAATTCGTTTATGGTAGGTGGGTTCTTACTGTCGCCTTTAGGGTCTTGATGGGCTGGTGTTGTGGCTAAATGTACCAGTCACCAGCAGTTTTGCTACCCGTTATCGAAGGGCGGTACAACAAACTTTCACCTTGTATAAGGATGAGAGAAGTCATCTCTATAACTGATTAAGGAAATGACTCGGTCCACAGGGGTTTGAAGAATATGTTTTGTTTTATTTTTTCTATCTGTTTGGCACAAAAAGAACGTGGAATTTTTTTCATGTGCCACTGCACAATTTTTCCCCTTTAATTTCTGATTTGTACAAGCAATTATGTTTATCCCTTCCGTAAATTGCTGATTATTTTTAATAAGTTGAGCCACGAGAAATCGGCTTCTGGTTAAACCTAAAAATTCTGGTCAATAATATAGAGACAATGTACGCTTATTAGAATGTTTAAAACTAATTTTATAAATAAATTTTCTCTTTATTTTTTCCCACCATATCTGCATACATTTTTTTTTTGAGTATTTACGCTCCCTCTCCATGGCCTTATCACGAACTCATGAACATGCATGACCACTTCACTTATTGCGTGACGTTAGCTAAACAAACAGTCCTTGAAGGAGGCTTTAGCTCAAGCGTTCAGCACGAGATAACCGTTCGTAAATGGTGTTTAATAAGAGTTCAAACAGGAGATCAAGGAAAATGCTTTGAAATTTACGGTAAAGCAGACTTCTTTCAATCATAAATGCTCTTGCTAACATTTTAGATCATGGGACAGAAATAGAACATTCGAGTTGGTAGCTTGCAAGCGATACTAATTCTAATTGTCGAGATGGCTAAATTCAAAGATAAAATATACTCGGAACCAGATATTTTGAATGTCAGATGAGTATAAAGTTTTTCGTGATTTCTTCTGTAGTTTATGGGTGAAAAACGCTAAAACCAAGAAGAAACATCCAAGGTTTTTGTTATTTACGTGAAGGAATGTGTCACTTGTTTACACAGATTAGAGGGTGTGAATGGGGTTAACCGACTAGCGACAAAGGGCGAAAAATATTACTGACTACCGACAAAACGAGTAAAAAGTTACCGACTACCGACAGGAAAAATATTAACCGACTACCGACATGGGCTGACATTATCAATATTTGTTTTCAGAAAAAAGAGATTTTGCTTTTTTTTTCTAACCGTTAGGAAGTACAACCTCTTTAAACTTATGACTCATTAGATGGTCTAACAGAAAGAACTTCCTCTTTTGTTGATATGGGTACATTACTACAACTAATATCATAATCACAGAAGCCACACCTTAAAGATGCTACCAACTTTATACATTTTATTGAAAAGACAAAGGTAAAAAAAGCGGATCGTTTCTTGTTTCGGTCCGAGAAAAGCTTAGATTAATCCTCAAAGAAAATTCTTTCCACTTTAATAATGAAAAGCACTATCAGTAAGAAACCACGGTACCGCGATGAGCACATACAGCAGTTTCCTTTCCAACATTTTCATGGCCGCTTATATTGAAACACAAAGTTTGAGCAAATCTGTCTTTAAACCAACTGTTTAATTGAAAGAGCTACATACATTAAATTTTTTCCCTATGGGACATGAGTAAACCAGAAATAGTAGATTTCTTAAATTTACGGAACAAGTAATTAAACTTACTTCACCCTACTGCTCTACTGGCTATGAAGTTTACGGCCGAAATATCTGACACTGAGACAATCTTTTTAGACCCGGTTGTCAGTACCAAGGCACAACATTCAACGAAAACTGAGAAAAAGCTATAATTGACGTAAAGACGCATTTTAAACAGAAACCTTCCAGTATATACATTTCCACCTCTTACTACCCACCAATTGTTAAAATGGATTTGACAAACAAGAAGCCTTGAGAATCCTACGAACAAACTCCTCTGAGGAAGTATTTCAGATTTCAAAAAGCGGTTGGTGGACAGAGGCTGACCACACAATTTTGAAAGCCCTTAGTGTCTATTATAAAAGAAGCTTTAATGAAAAAGTGTAACTATACAAAACCAACCACTATCTTGCCAACTTTGCAGTCGGACGTACACGCAAAATCATACCCCCCACCATGGTACAAGAGGATGGTAGATGGAACCCCTCCCCAGAGTTTTTGATATGTTGCAGTACTTCGAAGCGATTTTGCCTTCACTGAAAAGCCTTTGATCTTCTTAACAAGATGAGATATATTTTATGAATGGTGGCGCTGCAGGAGGCCTGTTACGTCACCAACAATGGTCGCCATCTTTGTCGCCATCTTGGATTTTACCAAGAATTAGAAATCAGGTTAAAACAGCCAGAAATGGTAATTGCTTGACATGAATAATAACACATAAATAAACACCTGGCATGATTTTTAGCTACAGGATTTTTCTCTTATTGTTGAAAAAAGTTGAAAAAAAAACCATTTTCACTCAAAATGGCTTGACCGCCTGCTACTTATTACGTCATACCTCGTAACCATGGAAATTGATCATCACTGAACTTGTCTCAAATAGTCAGGTCTCTTAAGGTCAGGATCGTTACAGAGTTGACAAAAGCACCAAACTTTGCACAGCGATAGCTTATTGCAGTACCATGAATATTAGAGGGGGTGCCCAATGCAAATATGCCACTGAAGCGTGCTAAACAGGATTTAATTATTGTAAATTTCACCTGCTGGGTCCCTGTGGTGTTTTGATTGAAAATTGTCATTTGATACCTTAAATCACTCAGAATGCATGCTCTTCTCATGTTGTAGACAACAATTTTTTAATGCTCCGTTTTAAGGGTATTTAAAGCTAGTCAAAGCTACACAGAAAGGAGAGAAGTTGAAATAAGGATGTGTTGACACCGGGGATCGAACTCGGGACCTCGCGCACCGAAGGCTGCGCACTAACCAACTGAGCCACCCTTGCTCCTCCTTTTGCCCCGGAAGACGAGGTTGACATGTTTTAATCATTATGTCAAGGACAGGGTTACCAACGAAGCAAATTATAATCTAATCTTAGTTTTACAAATACAAAGTGGGCGCGTTGTCAGTAACGGTTCATGTGGTCGTTCATGTGGCATGTCAAAATTTAACGATTCTATCGTTTAGGAAGTGATACATTTGGATTTTATGTTATTGTATGACATCTTTGAAAGCTTTGTGATCTGTTTAAATTGATATGTAATGATATTATTACTGGCAAGTCTTAGCAGTGGCACTGATAGCCGCACAGTCAACATGGTCACACTTACCGTGTGGAGACTGGGAAATAGTCAGCATTATGTACATGTAAAACTATTTTGAACAGTGTAACAACAACTAAACATTACCGAATTAAAAACTTAAAAATTTGAAACAAATGTTTTTTAGCCAAATCAAAGAAGAAGAGTACTCACCACAGGGAACCCAATTTGCTATTATAGATGAAAGTTAACCCCCCCTTTTATCTGTAATTAGGACCATTTGTAACGGGCACCCCCTCCAGTATTAATCGGCAGGTGCTAAGGAAGCTCTGTGCCAAATTTGACACTTTTGTCACGTCTGTAACGATCCGGCCTATATTTTGCACTAAGAGACCTGACTAAAAATGTGTGCGAGGGACAAACGACCATCTACTGAAAACGTCAGGTGCTGATGTTTTATCCTCTTGGAAAAATCCCAGAAAAACCTAAAGGGGGGCGGGGGTGGCATCCACCCCAAGCCCCCACCCCTTGTACGTCCAAGGGTTAAAGTGTTATTTCTTTGAGAAAGGAAAATTATGGCAAAGGACATGCTTGTTAGAGCCAAAACATTAAAGGTATAGATGTGCAGGGTGTCACCCCCTGCAGTTTTTCACTAAGAATAATTTAAGTACCCAAAAGGCTGGAGTCCATTAGTTAATTAATTACTTTTTACTGTGTCCTGTAATCGACAGGGAAACCAAGTTCGCATTTACAAGAAAAGGTTTGGTGATTTTATCAGTAATTATGATATTCATTTGCCAAAACAATGGTGAAATAAACGATTATGTTGCATAAACAAACAAGAAATAATGAAGTTTAAGTGCAATCAAATGATACATTCTTAAAAGTTTCA